GATGGTTGAAACCCTACAGATAATGGGATAAACCACCTATCAACTGATGCAGGATTTCTTCCATCCACCGTATGGTTACCCTCTGGTAAACATACAAAAAGCTATGGAAAATAACTCTTTAATGGGTAAATCAACTATTTCTATGGGCCATTTTCAATAGCTGTTAAATTACCAGAGGGTAATTGATAATGGGATACCATAGTAATAGATATTGATCCAAAGTAATTTTATTCCATTACATTGCTATTCTTTGATATTGGGGTGTAGTTAATCTATCATCATTTACCTGTTGTTAAAAGGGTTTCTTCAAACCCCTCTATTAATCAACCAACCAATGGGAAAAGGACATCCAAATCACCAGCATTATTGCTACTATTTTTTTTATATACAGTAACCATGATTATCACCATTGTATCACCAGTATTTAACAAATTATTATAAGTCACCATTATAAGCCATAATATGACCCTTATTCACCATATAAACATATATATATACACATATCCTTGGGTATTTAACCAAGTACTAGAATTCACCATAATTATATAATAAAACCATAAGCCATATATATATATATATAACCATTACAATTCACCATTATAATTCAACATTATTCAACCATTATAGAAGCCATGGTAAAGTTTTGGATGCTACAGCTGCCTCTTCGGAGAGATCTTCTGCTGTTATCACCTGGCAATGGGTTTTCGTAAGTTCTGCGAAGCTGCGACTGGGTTATATCTCAGGAATAATATGCCCAACATCAAAGAATAGCAATGTAATGGAATAAAGACTACTATGGATCAATATCTATTACTATGGTATCCCAATATCAATTACCGTCTGGTAATTTAGTATAGCTATTGAAAATGACCCATAGAAATAGTTGATTTGCCCATTAAACATGGTGATTTTCAATAGTCACGTTAGTTTAGTTTACCAAAGGGTGAACCCTACTCCATTAGTAATCATTCCATCAATGGGAATTTCGGGATCCAACAGATGGAGGTACGTTAGTACCATATGTTTGGCCATATTTTGCTGGGATATTCCCTTACATAAGCCTCAAAAATAGGCCAAAAATATATGCTAGGTACCTCCAATCAATCGGTTCCTGTTGTATGGCCATTGATTCCAGGTCATCTCATTGACATCGACAGTAGACGGACTGTAACTGTCGATGTCTATCGGCGAGACTTCAAAAACATGGACAGAAACACTGGCTTGCTTACTTCCATTGTGTTGTCATGTCATTCAAAGATATGTGTATATATATATGTATATAAGAAGTTGTTATGTGTCGTCCATATATCCTCTTGGTTGTCCCCCATGTCTCTGGTTGCATCTATCATCTATCATGCACTCACACGGCTTTGTAGGTATGGGGGGTCATTGTTTGTCTCAACTCTACTAGTATCGGAACTTTTCAGATCCAAGTAATGTGGCCCCATTCATTCATATCATAAAGTCATATCAAACAATATCAAATAGTATCAAATCCGACTACATTACCAAACACAAGAGTGGTTTCGATTCTTGCTGGTTACTGGCAGGATTTTCCCAAATGGATTTAAATTAATGGCTATTCTATAATAGTAAATATATATATATATATCTGGGTGGTGATTTCAACCCCTCTGAAAAATATGAAAGTCAGTTGGGATGATTATTCCCAATATATATATATATGTATCAATCCACAGCCTTATCCACCCTTGGGATAATACATTAGTTATTACAATTTAACAGAATCATTGATCATTAGGACAATGTGGTGCTCCTCCAGTTATAAGTTTGTCTACAACGCCATTCACTATAGATATATCTAACATAAGCCCTAGCTAGAGCTATGAGCCAAGTTAGCCATCTTGGGGGTCACCACCTCGTTGCTCAATTACACAACGATTCTTATCCACTTAGAATGGTTCTTGGTGAATAAACTGTGGGTTGGAATATGTTAATTATCATGAAGTTAACATATTAGTCATAGTTGATATACTGGCCCTTTTAACACAATCATTGATCAGCTAATCCCGTATTAGAATCATTAATCATTAATGTATGACCTATTAAGGTTCATAAACATTCTACTCCACCATCAATTAACTTAGATATATGTTATCTACCATAACTTAAGAGTTAGACCTTTAAACCAACTTAGCTCGGGGGCACCACCTTAATTCATAGATTCTTTCATGGTTAGAATCCCATAGATCTATGTTAGTGACCGCCACAAAAACGCCTGCTGTCCCCCACGTGCAAAGCGCATGGGTGGTAAGTTTGCAGCAGGGCGAAGCCGCTGCACCTGGTGTCATCGCGTCATCGCTGCGGCTCTGATTCAAGGCTGGTGTCAGATGACGTTTTGAAATATTACTCTTGGTATGATATATATATATATATGTCATATTATATATATATAATGTGGAATATTAGTCATATGTCATATATACTTTATATAATAATGTACAATACTAGATATAATGATATGTAGTTAATATATGTTAATATATTATGTACAATAATATAAAACCATAATTTATATGAACAACATGATCAACACACACACACACATTGTTCATATTGATATTTAACCATCATTTATGACGAGAAATGTTGGTTGGTTGCAGTATTATTCCCAACATATTTGGTAGTATAGCAACTGGTCTGTCACTTCCCCCGAACTATTCACCAAGTCATAGAGGAGGGTTTTTGGGATGCACCACTATTCACCAAGCAATTAGTTCACCAATGGCTGCTAGACTACAGGATGGGGCCTCCAAGATAGCTAAGTTGGTTTATAACTCCAATAACTATGGTTTATGGTACTTATAACTATTGTTACTGGGGCTTATAAACCAACTTATAACTGGGGGGCCTCACATTGTAGAGATTACTGATTCATACTGATGAGAAATGGTGCTGGCCCAGGAAAACTCGACGATTTTGTGAAACGCCGAAGTGAAGACTGGAGGTATCATCAAAACTTGAATGGTCACAACATCAATGGGAATTTCAGGATCCTAAAATGGAGGTCCCTACCATATATAAGGCCTATATAAGGGCTATGTAAGGGGATATACCCCAAAAATATGGCCTTATACGGCACAGTACCTCCAATTTAAGATCCTGGAATTCCCATTGACAATAGGTTGAACGCGCCTGTTCAGCAAACTGGGGGGTTCTCGATCAGGGATTTGACATAATTTCTTAGTCATCCTCCCGGGAATTGGGAACTGAGGGCTGCAACTGGCATGATGATTTACTTCTATTAAAATTCTGTGTTTCCAATAGCTATATCAAATTACCAGAGGCTAGTTTATAAAGTAAATGCGAGCGTTACTCAACATGTAGATCATGATAGAGTTTCTGTAGTTGCCCCCGAGGCCCGTTTGTGTGTGTGGGATCAAACCAGGACTTGCAAGAACACAGATCAATGCAGGTCTGTAGCTCTATTTGGTCACATTCGTGAAACTCCCAAAGGTAGCCATCACAATATGTATCTATATATAGTTATCAAAGCACCCAACAAAGACAGACAAACTTTACCAACTTGTTATAGATAATTATTTATAAAAAATGATAATTATAGTTATAAAATGTTATAAACATACACACACACACACTTGTTTACCCAATGATTTCAGGGTTTGCAGCTTGATCAAATTTATTTCGCGATTGGCCGAGGCCCTAGGGACTTTCACAACAGCACTTAAGTGTACCGAGATTTAGAGTATCATGTTTTCTAGGTAAACTTTGACGAATGGTTGAGTAGAGGATACGACTGGCTTAAAATTTCCGCCACAAGTCGAAGAATATTTCGCAAATATGTAGTGATTACATTGCCAATCAGCCAGATAGCCTGCAAAAACTGACAAATTCTTTGCTGGTGAACGGTTCGATATTCCCATTAATACCAAAAGACTAGTTAGGATTAGTTTGTATCCATCTACGGTTGACCTAGTTAGCAAATATGTAGTGATTGAGGGTGTATCTATGGTCAGCATTGGTCAGCTGCCGCTTGATCTATGTCCCCTATATCCCCACACCTCCATATTGAGGATAGATTCGTCCGTTTCCCACTGGCCCACTGATTGATCAATAAAGTACTTGCAATGCCCATATGATCCATGGTGCTGGTATATATGCTAACATAAAGGGGGTATATTGATGGGATCCATGTTACCATATATAGCAGCACCATGGATCCTGTGGGATAGGCAAATCATGATAGGTATTCCAAACCTACGGACCTTGATCTTCCCATCATTGGTATTGATTGTATTGATTGTAGCGGTACCGTTTCCCTACCCATCTACTAATTAATGAGGTAAATGCAAACATGGCCCATGACCCAGTACTGATGCACACTTCCAACCTTCGCGTCTTTTCCTTTCACGTCGCTGTATCACGGCTGTGCTGGCGCGTTTAATATATAGCGCTGGGAGAGCAAACTGTTCGACCTGGAAGTATCCAACTCTGAACAAAAATAATTTTTCATGGTATGTTTACCATCATGTTTTAACCATCATTAACGATATATATATATATATATTAACCTGTTTTTCTGCTCAGGCAATTTATTTAGGCTTTCAAGGCATGATCCTGGATGGTTCGTCACATGATTCCATGGGGAAGATTCCAGAAATGATAACGGTTATTGTATAACTATGGTGGTGCCCCCAAGATAGCTAGCTTAACTCGGCTAGCTCTAAAAATAAACTAGGCCTTATGATAGACATTATAGTTAATGGATGTGAATGGTGTTAATTGTTATAAACCAATTTATAACTGGAAGGGCACCACATTGTATATACACAGGCTGATCCACAGTGCCTGTGCCACAATCACAACGCTGGCCGTTCTTTTCAAGGACGGGAACAAACTTTCGTCCTAGTGAAGTATGTGCATATATACATATTGTATGATGTATACTGCCATCAACCACCTTCAATTCAAGTTGGGGTAAACTTCAGGGTGACCATACCCGTGACGAATTGTTCCCTGATTTCTCCGAGCAAGTTACACAGTCATTGAGATAGAAATAGACATATAGACTCAACGAGGGCAACGACACAGCCTAAGGGTCCGAAACGGCACAGCCTCTCAGACGACCCTCGGCTTAGCATGCCTTTTTTCGGGCAACATTTTGCACCCCACAGCTTATAGTGACACCACACACTGAGACACGTTGAAGCTGCCGGGAAAACTGAAACGGACATCTGCGCTTCGCAGCTGTTCCTACCTGCTACTCAGAATCGAATCACATCGAAAGATGCCTCAGATCCAACGGGTTTTGCTTAGTGGTTTCAACCCATTCCTGAAATCTATAGAAAATTATAGAATTCCTGGTCAGTTGGGGGAACAAACAACAGAAAATAGGTCGAAAATCAGAGCACTTCTTGGACATGGAAATAAGCAGCTTAGGATGGATGTGGAGCCTAAAACACTCTGGGTTGGACAAATGCCATGAGATGATGCTGGGTACGAACATCCTCAAACATCAAGAATCACAGTTTCCCATTTTGAGTATATGGCTTCATTCACAGCCGCTTCCGCCAAAAGCCAGTTAGACTCAGCTCAAAGAATAATATTGCATCCCCCATGTCACCATTTTTATGGGTGATATATATTAGGATATATATGTATATATATATAAATCCATTCCCAGTCATGGGTGGTTTATGACATTGTTTTACCCAGATTAATCATTATTGTAATAACCATCAACTAGCCATGAAAACCACCATTAATAACCATTAACCATTATTAATAACCATTATATAACCATTGTTACAACCGTAGTTGTGACATTGTTTTACCCACATTATATATTAACCATAATGATAGTTATAACCACCATTAACCATTATATAATAACTATAGTCATTCGAGTTCCCCAGTGGCCACGGTTCCCAGTCCAACGTTTCGCATTCGCGAAAACTCCCGTTCACGCCTGGAACGCGAGAAGGTCGTCGCTCTAGCGGAAGAGACTGTTGAGCCCGTGGAAGATTCGACCTCGGTATCAACAAGTGATCACTATATGGGGGTTTCCATAGCTTACTGGTGCGGTTTACGTAGGGAATTGATGGGAATGGGGGTTGCTGGGATGATTATTGATAGTAATTGTGGATACCCTGCAAAAAATGTATCCTGATACTGACATAATCTGTGAAACATATGTGTTAGAATAAGTTATAATAATTAATATCTGTTTCACCTCTTCAATGTGTGACAATCATCGAACAGAAGTCACATACATATGTAAAACAATATATAATCATGTCAACACGTATACATATGTATATATATATATGTATATATATACATATGTATATATGTATATATGCATATGTGTATATATATAAATATATATATATATATGTATGCATATGTATATATATATATGTATATACATATGTGTATATAAATACATATATATATATAAATACATATATATATATATATATTCATATTTATATATATATATATGTATACATATTTTTTGTATATGTAGATATATATATATATATCTACATATATAAAAAATATGTATACATATATATATATATATATATAAATATGAATATATATATATATATACATATATATATATATGTATATATACATATATATATATATGTATATACATATATATATATATATTAATTTTGTACGTGCACACCTACTTTTGTGCAATTGCATGTGCATGCTGTGCCAAGTGAACCGTCACGCTCACTCCCCCAGTAAATCGTGGGTGCCAGAACTGAGACCCATGAGACCCAGAGTTTTGTCGGGATCATGCGAGCCAAGCTTATCATAGCTTGTCATAGCTTATCTGGTTGGTGGTATACCTACCCCTCTTGAAAATATGAGTTCGTCAGTTGGGATGATCATTCCCAATATCTCGAAAAAAATCATGTTCCAAACCAACAACCAGTTATCCACATATATCTGGGCAAATTCTAATATTTGACTAACCTGAATTAAGGCCATTTGGGGATGATTTCCCTTACTAACCATGATTCCCAGTGAGGTCGCAGTGAGGTCGTTATAATTTAACCAGATATATATGAAATGCAATGCACATGCTTCTCCTACGTCACCTGGTGATGTCCCAAGATTTGAATCGCGTCCGCAATGGGACGAACTTGGGCTGTTTTAAGAGCCACGACTTGGCAATGTGCAATGGTCAAGTTAGCATGGGTTATATAATGGGTTATGTATATTATATAATACACATGTGCATATGGTTTATAGTCATCCAAGAATGGAAAGGCTTATCATGGGTATACAAGTCCCTACTAATGGATACTGATTGATTGATGAATATCCCCTCTGATGGGATTTTTTCTATCAATGTTTTGACCAAAAAAACGACCGACCGCTTCAACGAGGAGATTTCGCCACTCTGAAACTTCTTGGTTTTAAAGCCAACTTCTTCACTTGAGATGGGCCATGGAGTTAATTCACTACTTAGTAAATAGTGAATAATTGGGATATAGTCATATAGTGGTGTTTTTCATCCAGTTACTAACCAGCTAATCCCATGGCGCAGATCTTGTCGCAGTTTTTATCAAGTTGGTTTTTAAATCACCATTATAACCACCATTAACTATAGTTAACCACCATGAAATAACAACCATTATTAGTGGTTTACAATCCAGTTACTAACCAGTTAGCTAATCCCATGGCGCAGATCTAAGCAGATCTAGTCGCAGTTATTTATCAAACCAGTCGCAGCCAAAGTCGCCAAAGAATCCTGTCTCCTTGGCCGCTTCTTCACTGTCCAAGCCTGGCATCTGGCGGCGCAAAAACGAGGATTTAACCTACAGGATGGGGCCCCCAGTCGATAGCGTTCAGTTGCCTTATAAGTGGCTGACTTCTATGGTTTATGGTAGATATAACGAACTAGTTCATGGTGGTTATAATGGTTTATAAACCAACAAGCATCACTGCCACAAGGTTCTGACCTGCAAGATTCTGAATCAACCAATTAAACTGGCAATTTTTGCTTACAACGTCTTGGAACCATGGAGATTTATAGATACAGAGGGGTGAATTATCAAACACTGGGAGATGAACTAACGAAGAAAAACAAAGGAAATGAATCAACATCTTCCAAGCCGGACTGGATGTGTTTTGAGCATTCCAAACCCCCGCATATGTTTGGTGTACCCACAAACTTGGTCCATCGCTCTGACAGTGTCCACTTGAATGGGCCAGACAGTTCGTTGCAAAAAGCAGGTTGATATACCCTCTGGTTATTTAACATAGCCATGGAAAATCACCTTTTATAATAGGTAAACCATCTATAAATGGGCAATTTTCCATGGCTATGTCAGTCATAACCAGAGGGTATATATAACTTGTTTTTTGTAGGTTTCCTCCAGTGCCATTGGCACCATGGCTGGGGATGGTGCCAACATACCACCCATTTGTAGTTGGGTGGTCCCCACGTATAAAACCCTTAAACTGGGTCATGGGTCATGACCCACTGGGCGGGATCCAGTCTGCTAGGGCGAACAATGAGTTTTGTCGGGATCATGCGAGCCAAGCTTATCATAGCTTATCATAGCTTATCTGGTTGGTGGTTGAGCCTACCCCTCTGAAAAATGATGGAGTTCGTCAGTTGGGATGATTATTCCAAATATCTGGAAAATCATAAAAATCATGTTCCAAACCACCAACCAGGTACTAATTGACCCACAAAGGTTTGCTCTTTCAGAGTATTGAACCATGTTCAGCTGCAATTTTGGTGCTACATCTTTTGAACCATAGCCATTCTTGTTGGTGTCCTCTGTGCAGGAATTCAACGACTCCATCCTGTACAAATAAAGTCCCAGAATCTCCGTTGAACTTGCTTTTACTTGGTTTACCCTCCAGGAGTCAAACATGGTTTGCTTGAACATACCCCATCTATGGATGATTTTCCAAGCTAGCACGTTTGATGACACAGAGGGCACCCTCCTGCAAACCAGCATATGGAAAACCAACTATGAATGCAAATCATCTTCCAAACGGGATTCCCCATGGGTTTTCTACATCTTTTCGTATGTTTACCCCATTGTATGTATATATATATATAGAGTTAATAATTAACCCATTAATATTCCATTGATGTTTTTCATTACTAACCATTATCATTATTAAACCATTTATAGATGGTTTACCTCAGGGTAACTCTAGTCTCTCTCTCTCTCTCGCTGGTGCCCCGTGCCTGCGGCGAGGTGTGAAAAGTTGTCACTCGTGAGGCTCAACACGTTCCTGAGTAGTATGAGATGGAGAGGGGGAAAAGCGCCATTGAATACTGGGAATCCATACGGTAATAGTAATAATATAAAACCATAATAATAATATTATAATAATAATAGTAATAGTAGTAATAATAGTAATAAAAGCAACATCAAAAATATCAGTATTATGATAATAATTATCACTATAACATCTATCATTATAATATTACCATAATTATTTATCAAAAACAAATGCATGATTATTTCACAATACCCTCTGTTTATTTAACGTAGCTATGGCAAATGACCCATTTATAGATGATTTTCCCATTAAAACCTCAATTTATAATGGATTTTCCATGGCTTTGTTATATAACCAGAGGGTAATACTTATCGATGCTGGAATTCAATGATATTTCCGGATATTGATATCGCCAATATATATCCATGATTCCCCTGCAATCAAGACTACAATGTGGGCCCCACCCAGTGATGTTTGATGGTTTATAAACACCATTAACTATATTTATTTGCGTATCATAAACCATAGTTATTGGAGTTGTTTGCACCAACTTATTTATCGTTTGGGGGCCCGACATTGTAGGAATCAGAAAACCTTTTTTTCACACATACCGATGTTTATCGGTTACTTGGAGGATCATCCTAATTAGTAAGTGCTTCATAACCCTGGTTAGTAAGTCCCCCAAGTGGCTTATCCCACCTATAAATTAATGATATCTATGTTTATTGGTTGGTGAAATTCGGCACTTTGTTTTTGCTTAAACTCCAACTTGTTGTGTTGGCAACATCACCCCATCTTCATCGGTTAAATCCACATGTTTCTTGGTTAGATTCCCAAAGTGCTGTTGAACACATCTGAATCGCATAAAACATGTTACTAGTAGCTTCTGTAAACCAGCACAGATGTGGTGCTTACGGAGTGTTTACCCAGCACTTCTGGGTCATGTTCCTAGAGAAACATAGGGATTCCCCGTATAGGTGTTCCACATCTTTTTGTATGTAAAAAGCCCAGGGAAAATCATCTGGAAAATTAGCCAGCGAATCCACAGCTAATTTTCAATGCAATGTCTAGCCATCCAGCTGGGTTTGGATGATGTATACTGGTTGGTGGTTGAGCCTACCCCTCTGAAAAATGATGGACTTCGTCAGTTGGGATGATGAAATTCCCAATATATGGAAAGTCATAAAAAACATATTCCAAACCACCAACCAGTATATCTACACGATGGGCCCCCCAGTGATGTTTGTTGGTTTATAAACCATTAATTATAATCCCCATGAACTAGTTCGTTATATCTACCATAAACCATTGTTTTTTCAGCCACTTATAAACCAACGGTTCACGCTATCGACTGGGGGGCCCATCCTGTAGGTTATAGCAAAATTTAGGGAATCAGTTTTTACAGGGCTTACTCTCATCCAGTTGGGGACGGTCATGGATGATCATCCTCACCCGGAATCCGCTTGTTACCTGGATCCAATCATGTCCTGCTATGGAAAACCATAGGAAAGTGGTGACTTAACCAACAAAAATGGTGATTGCTCATGGGATTTGATGGTGGTTGATAGGAATTACCCTCTGGTAAACATAGCTATGGAAAATCACCATCTTTAAGAACGGTAAATCAACTATTTCTATCGGCCATTTTCAATAGCTATGTGAAATTGATCCATAGTAGTGGCTTATTCCATTACATTACTATTCTTTGATATTGGGGTGTGGTTATACCATCTATCATCATTTACCTGTTGTTAAAAGGGTTTCTTCAAACCCCTCTATTAACCAACCAACCAATGGGAAAAGGACATCCAAATCACCAGCATTATTGCTACTATTTTGTATAACCATTATGATCACCATTGTATCACCAGTATTTAACCAATTATTATAAGTCACCATAAGCCATGATATAACATAAAACCACAAAGTATTTAACCAATTATTAGAATTCACCATAATTACATAATAAAACCATATAAGCCATATAAAACCATCATAATTCACCATTATAATTCAACATTATTTAACCATTATCTAAGCCATGGTAAAGTCACCAATATAATTATAAAACCATTGAAAATAGCCTTATATAGTGGATTTACCCATTAAAAAGGGTGATGAACCATAGTTTTCTGTAGGTTTACCAGAGGGTAAGCCATATAAAACCATTATAAATCACCATTATAATTGCTGGATCTATGTGAATCCCGCAACGAGTCCAACGAGTCACTGCAGGTGATGCAGCATCCGATGTGACTTCGTCGACAGCTTCTGGAGATCCTGACGCGGTGGTGGTCGCGGTCGCTTCCCATGGATGGAAATGGTGGCTATGAATGGTTTACCTATTAAAAATGGTGATTTTCTATAGCTATGTTAAATTACCAGAGGGTAAATAATCCACGGTTTTAATACATGGTTAAGAATTGTTGACCCATAAATTAGGGAGGTTTTAAGAATCCCAAACCATAATTATCAGCAGCCTGAGTAGATAATGGTTAATAATGGCAAATAATCATGAGAGGTTCTAATGGGAATAAACAATTAATCAATATAATGGTAAATAATAATCCATGGTGTTAATGTACGCTCAGGCAAACCAATGGTAATATTTCATAATGCAAATTCATATGTAAATTGTATATGAATGGATTATTAATGATATTTACCCTCGGGTAAACGAACATAGATGTGGAAAATGCATGGCTTATCTAGGAAAAACATCTACACATGGTTGATTTTTGCACATCTATGTTAGTTTACAAGAGGGTACTAAGGGACATATGATAAAGTTGATAAGGTGTACGGTGTACTTATCAAATGAACACGCTGATAATCCAATAGTTGATAATCCAATGATAAACATGTGGCTATGTGTAGCATTAGGGTTCAAACGTTAATTTCTGATCAATGCCAAATATGATTAGGGTTTCCCTGACGTTTCCCGACATGTATCTCTTCGTTGATGGAGTTTGGTCGAATGCGAGGTCGCCATGACCTCTCTAGCGGAACGGAGAAACGGCAAAAATCATTCGTGCTTGCCTCTATTGCAACATTAAAAAAAACAAGAAGCTGGAGACCCTCATGGCTAAGAGGGATAAATACAAATAATCAGGAGGCTTTTTTTCCACCTGAATGGTAAGTGTGAAAAACTGACAAATCTATACACTGCCAAAACGAGCTGGAGAAACAAAGGTTCAAAGTATAGTTTTCAAATGGAATATAATATAGCCATTCCAAGGGATCCATGAACAACATGTTGGGCGGTAACTTTTGATTCTTTGCGATATCTGGGGGGGGGTACATGTTCGACAATGACTGCTGAGGTAAGATAGCATTAATCTTAGCAAAGGTTTCCTGACACAGGATTGATGTCAACCCCCTGATCCAGGGATTGAATTACCCACCAACAAGTGAGCAGTCTTCAAAAGCTGCAACGTCATTCCATGCAAATACTGGTTGGTTACATTAAGAACGGGATTCCCGCAATGGATCATGATGGCCCCCGATATGTATAGTATATGTATATGTATGTATAATGCCAACCCCGGATGAGACTAAACCATGGTTTATTAATTAGGTACTCCTCCAATAGTCATTTCATCTGATACTTAAATGGTATCTTCCCAATTAAACAGCCGTTTGGGGTTTATTAATCCGGGGTTGACATTATCATCTTTTCAAAAAAAAAACAATGGTCTATCCATCCAAGTGAGCAAGTAGTGCAAAATCTACAAGCTGGGGCCCAGCTTAAGACAGCTAGTTTGGTTGCTAAGTAAAACTCCATATTGCCTATGCAGGATTTATGGCAGTTATAACCATAGTTAGTGAAGTTTATGAACCAACAAATATCTGGGCAAATTATAATAATTCACTAACCTGAAATAAGGCTATTATTGCACGTTGCCACAATAGCCTAACCTGAAATAAGGCTATCTTGGGGATGATTCCCCTTATTAACCATGATTTCCAGGGCTCGGTCGCAGTGAGGTCGTGATCAAATTTACCCAGAAATATATCATCTGGCGGTTTCCTGAAATAGTGCTACCCCCAAACTCGCTGGATGCTTTATAACAGAAAACATGGGTCATTAAATGTCCCATTTTGGGAATATTGGACATCACCTTATAGTAGCCATTATAGACCATATACCTAATGGTTGGGTGATGTGAAAAATGGGGACATCAGTCATGACCCATGTAAAATGGATGATGACTGGGGGTAACCCCCATGACTTAGGAAACCCCCATCTCTTGGCAAAGCCATCTTGTACCCTCTGGTTATGTCAAAAGTTTGCTATTGAAAATTGCCGGTTTATAGTTGATTTAGCCATTAAACATCGTGATTTCTCCATGATTTCCCATAGTTATGTTAGTTTACCAGAGGGTATAGTTATCAGTATCATAAACCATAGTTATTGGAATTATAACCCAATTTATTTGTATTCAAGGGGCTGAAACCACCAACCTATGTTTAATACATGTACATGTCGCCAACCTTCTACCTCGCTGCCAAGTTGCGTTCACGGCCCCGTCTCCAATGGCCAAGGTTAGAGACTCTTGGGCGCTGCCTGATGGACAAATCCAGCAACAGCTGTATTTTTAGCTGGTGAGTCCAGTGTGTTCCATTGAGAAAAGACATGGAAACCATTGGAACGCCTGCAAGATAGCTAACTTGGCTTATAACTCTGATAACGTTTGGATTTATGGTGGATGTATCTATAGTTAACGGTGTTAGAAACCAACTTATAACTGGAGGGACACCACATTGCAACACCTGTATTTTTAGCTGGTGAGTCCAGTGCGTTCCATTCAGAAAAAGACATCGAAACCCCGAAAAAAAAAACACACTTCATGGCTGCGGATATCCATTGCCAGGTTCTATTTGTAATAAGAACGGTTATGAAACCCAAGTATTGATGGGAAACTCTAGTCTAGACTTGGTCACATTAGGAGGTTTAAGGAAACCCACGTTGTGGATAGGAAAATCAACAACAAATAGGTTGCAGCCAAAACAAACTGGTTTAATGTAGCGGTGGATCTGTGAATTCGGGGGTCGTTTTTTTGACCGGGCGGGTTGAAAACAATCGGGGTGGGATGATTATGGTTTTGATTTATGATGACGTGACGTAAGTGGAATAACGCACATAATTGGGTTGCGCTAACCCCTATTTCTGTGAGTTGGTGATGATATTCCCAACCATATCTGGTAGCTCTAGCTTGTCACCAATGTTAAACGCAGGCCAGAAATCCTATCGTGTACCCTCTGGTTATTTAACATAGCCATGGAAAATCACCATTTTTAATAGGTAAACCATCTATAAATGGGCCATTTTCCATGGCAAACTGTTAAATAACCAGAGGGCAGCCGTAAAGTTCGGAATACCTCTGGTAATCAAACATGCTTTGCTAATTCTCCATTTATAGACGGTTTTCCCAGCGAGAAAAACCTCCACTCAGGGGAGAAATCCCAGTTTGCCATGTTGGTGAATCCCAAGTAACCACCATAAATCCCATAGAATCACGTGAAACATCCCATTAGATTACCATTAAAATTCAGAAATTCCCATTAAATCACCATGAAAGCTCATGAATTCCCATTGAACCACTATTGATATTCATAAATTTCCATTAAATCCCTATTAAAATTGAAAAGCGAACCATTAAATCACCATTAAAATGCATTAAAACCCATGAATTTCCATTAAAAATGCATCAACATCCAAAAAATATGATTAAATCACAGTAAATCATTTCAACTCATTCAAGTGAAGAAAACGATCAACGGATCCACCACATCGCGGGCTTTCTTTGCCTCCAAAAGCTTTTAAACGATCCTCAGGCCAAGGCAATTATAGCGTTGTGAATTGGCTACAATGTGAGGCCCCCCAGTAATAAGTTGGTTTATCAGCCCCAGTAACTATAGTTATAAGTACCATAACCATAGGTATTGGAGTTAAAAACCAACTTAGCTATCTTGGGGGCCTCACATTGTAGTCATGATTATGATTGGCCATAAACATCATTACGAATCAATATCACTATCATTATCATGAGTAGCCATTACATTGTCATAATAATGATAACACTGTGGTTTTTGTTTTTGTGATGCCGTGAAAATGATACTCCATAAACACTTATTAATATGTGTATTATTATGCTGATGATGGGAACTATTATTGTGACTAGTATCATCATCACCACCACCACCACCATCATCATCATCATCATCATGTTGTTATCATGATTATCATGATTATCATTGACTATTACAATTATGATGATGATGTGTGTGTGTGTGTGTGCGGGATGTTTATGATGAGGACCACGATGATGCTTACACCCTTTGCCAGGCTTCAGGAGTAGATCTGGAGCTGTCATTCTCATAATTACATAGTGAATTGTAGATGCCTGGCAAAAAATATATATATATATATATATAAATACACGTGAATATATATATATATATGTATGCATCATAATGTGAATATATATATATACATAGATAAAATTACATATATATATATATGTATTGGCAATGGGTCAAATATTCACGTCAATTGAATTACCATTTCCATAGCAGGAACAAATGCCTCAGCAATGATGGAAGTCAATTGTCTGGTTGACGGTGACTGAAACCGCCTCCGTCACATCTGAAGGCAGTGCAAAAATGGAACCTGCATAGGGGTTTAGCCAACTGTACATGGGGGTTTCATGGGTTACAACCATCAATATGGGACTTAGGATTACTTGGATTCTCTTCCTTACATGTGTAAAGCTGAGAAAAGCATCACAAATCGTGCCATAAGGCTGCTGTTCTTGGCGGCTACGTTCCCAATGTGCCACGTTCCGTGTCCTTTCCAAGTTGGTCATACGGTCACATACTAATACGGTCGAGTCATATCCCATCTTTGTCGGTGCACTCCTATGCTTGCTTCTGAATTCAAGTTGTACCCTCTGGTAAACATACAGAAAACTATGGAAAATCACCATTTTTAATGGGACAATCCACTATTTCTATGGCCATGTTCAATAGCAAACTGTTAGTTTACCAGAGGGTAGTACATGGGGATATGACAAGTCATTCCCCGTATTCTTGTAGGTAATTGAGCTACAATTTCATTGTCATTTGGGTGCTTCTGGAATTTCCACATTCTTGTGGCTGAAGTTTTTTTTGGTGATATTCCAATAGGTTTGCTAATGAAATCAAGATTCTTCTTGTAAAAAACAAAAAACATTTCTTCTCATTCCAAGCCAAATCACCCCATATTGATGGTTGGATATCCCACGACATATTCCCATTAAAAATCCACTACAGTAGATATTCCAATGATATATCCAATATATATATATATATTGCAATGATCTATACATATATAATATTTATGTACACATATACTTAAATATATATATATACATGTGTATATATATATATATACACCCATATATTGACGATGGTTCAATCTGCCACAAGCACGTCCGAGTGGCATCAATCTCAAACACCAACCCCTCCTCGTGAGGCCAGCTGGGTACTTCGGGGTGGATGCCAATTATATATGGGATGCCAACTAATCAATGGGAATTTCAGGATCCTAAAATGGAGGTACCTACCATATATAAGGCCTATTTTTCAGGCCTATGTAAGTGAATATCACCACAAAATATAACCTTATATGGTACTAACGTACTTCCATCTGTTGGATCATGAAATACCCATTGAACTAATACAATTATAAATACCATTACAAATGTAGGTTTCCAATGATTTAAACCTGTCTGATAACTATCTATATCACATACAATGTGGCCCCCCCAGATAAATAAGTTGGTTTATAACTCCAATAACTATGGTTTATGATACGCAAATAACTATCGTTAATGGGGGTTTATAAACAATCTTAAAACCGGGGGGGCCACATTGTGTTAAATGGGTTATACCCCCATTTATATATGGGGTGGTTCCATAAAGGGTGCTCCAAAAATGGATGATTTGTAATGGAAAATCCTACTAAAATGGATGATTTAGAGGTATCCCCATTTTAGGACAGCACCATATGGCATATCCCCATTTATATATGGGATTATATCTGGTATATTATATATATATAGATTTTGAAAACCGCTTACAAAGTGGGATGCACATCCAAAAAATGTACCCTCGGGTAAACTCATCATGTACCCTGGATCTATAAATGGCTTAATGATGGGTTGATCATGTGGGATATAAATGAAAATCATCTACAATGTGAGGCCCCCGTTCGATAGCTAAGTTGGTGCAAATAACTCCAATTTCACTATGGTTTATGGTACGCAAATAACTATAGTTACTGGGGCGAATCTAAACCAACAAACATCACTGGGGGGCCTCACATTGTATAAATGGGATATGAATGGATTATGAATGATATTTACCCTAGGGTAAACTCATACAAATGTGGAAAACCCGTGGTTCCCCCCTTAGTTTACCCTTGGGAACCTTAAATGGATTGGTTTTCTTGGGCACATCTACAGGAAAGCCCTATATTTCATGGGAAAGTCGATGGTTTCCCCTAAGCCAATTCATTGAAACCTTCAATCAAGGATAGAAAAGAAAACTAAACTATTAGAAGAACAAGTGCAGGGGAAAAAAACTTTCCTATCTTTATGAAAAAAAATATTGATCCGTAACAAGCGGATATTTCCCAAAGAAACTTTACCTTTTGGATCCCTTTGCAGGGGGTTACCCCACTAAATCACCAAACAGTGATGTTTCACTATTACAAGTATATCCTATTCTATTCTACCGCTGACATAGATCACACAATTAGTGGTGGGAATCTAACGATAATCTAATGTGGAGATTTAAAAGTTAAACACTTCAAGCAAGATTCTGAAGTCACGGCAGTGATCCGCAGATGAGATGTTTCCATTAATTGGGAGGAGGACTTTAGCTTTACCCGGCCTGGTAAACATACAAAAAACGAACTGGAAAATCACCATGTTTCATGGGTAAATCCACTATTTCGACTGGGCCATGTTCAATAGCGAACTGTGAATGTTTACGAAAGGGGAAGTTGTTTGACTTTTAACACACCCTTAACATGGCCCAATGCTCATTGCGAGGTCATCCAGTGTAGGGCACATCTGCATGTTGAAACCGCTGCTTGCAGCCACAGAATTCAACAAGACCGGCCAAATTTATGGAAGGAATTAAGTAGTCAAATCATCTTCCAAGATTCCCTGGTTGGTGGTTTCAAATCATCTTCGAAGAATCAAAATTTATCTGGTTGGTGGTTAAGCCACCCCTCTGAAAAATATGACTTCATCAGTTGGGATAAAATTATTCCCAATATATGGAAATTCATATTCCAAACCACCAACCAGTTATGAGTTTCATTGAGTTGCCCTTTGGACTTTCGAGAACGAAAATCGCAGCGCACTTAAGCCGTCTTCGACAAAGCCAACAGCCAAGAAACGGATATAGAGACGAGATTTCCCAGTTTCCGATTCATGGTAACCTGAGCCGCTGGTCTTTTTGTTGGCCAGCCGTTGAAGTGATAAAATATGAGCATGCCATGGAAAGATCCATTGTCATTATATACATTTATATTATCATATATTCAATGTGGTGCCCCTCCAGTTAGTTGGTTTGTAAGCCCATTAACTATGGATCTATCTACCAAAAGTCCTAGTTGTTAGTGTATTTTTAGCCAAGTTAGCTTATCTTGGGGGCATCACCTAGTACCATTGAACACATATGAAACTGGTACTAGATGAACAATCAACATAAAATTTTGATGTTTCATCCCAAGTACCATTGTAATTATCCATAATTAACTTGGGATGAAACATCAAAATGCTTCAAAAGCACCGGGTATGTTTAGGGATTGAGGGGTTGATGATCTCTCTTAGTATACCAGGTTCTCAGGAGCATGGGGTGGCTTCTATCCATGCACAAGGTGGCAGCTCCCGCGGTTATGTTGGTTTCAAAACCTCATTAAAAATACTACAGTTGTATACAGTTGTGGCCACAAATGAGAGTTATTGAACATAAAAAAAACGTAAACAACGCAATCTGTTTGGGGTCCCCACCTTGTATGAATGCTATGTATGAGGAATTCAACAATCTGAACAGCTCGGTCATTTGGGATAGTTCCCCTTACTAATCACGATACATAGTGGGGTTGCAGTGAGGTCGGTTAAATTTATCCAAGTGCGTATAGCGTTGCTAAATATTGGATACCTATTGCTTCAAGTGGTGTTTTTCATATGGTCAAATCAACATGTTTTGATGGTTAAATCACATCTAGATATTATAAATAAACTACAAATCCATATAATTTCCCATGTGTTGCTGCTTAGAATTCACGTTTTTGGATGGTTAAATTCACATTTTGAGATGGTTTAACATCACAAATTTCAAAGTTTGGACCCTACCAGCTTTTTCGACAGCCGAGTGGCAATATAGTGCCCGAGCTTCTCTACCGTGGCTTCTGGGGGCAGCATAAAAAAATCGCGCCAGTATGAGGAAAATTCATGGCCAATCTTACAGTAGATACCCTGCAAAACATGACAAATTATTTGCTGGTGAACGTAGATATTCCCATTGATACCAAAAGACTAGTTAGGATTAGTTTGTACACATCTAAGATTGACCTAGAAATTAGCAGTTAACCATACAAAGTGTGGCCGATATGGAGGATTTCACCATATTTCACCATGAAACTGTGGGAGAATAGAAGGGATACCCTCTGGTAGACATACAAAAAACCATGGAGAATCACCATTTTTAAGAACAGTAATCACAGATCAATCATCTGCCTGACAGCAAACGCATCCCTTGTTTGCATGTATTTTACCCTCTGGTAAACTAACATTTTGCCATGGAAAATCACCATTTTTTAAGGGTAAATCAACTATAAACGGCTAGTTTCAACAGCTATGTTGGTTTACCAGTGGGAAACATAAGGAGAATATGGGATAATACAGGGATAGTGGAATATAATGGGATTCTTGGAAGTTACCCTCCGGTGTCATCAAACGTGGCACTGGAAAATTCCCTATGAATGGAGGTTGGTTGTGTTGGAAAAACATCAAACTAGATGGTGGGTTTTCCAGCAAGCCATCTTTGATTACTGGAGGGTAGCCATACAAGGTGTGGCCCCCCAATAGAAGTTAGTTTTTAAACCATTATGAATTATAAACCCACTGAACCGGAGATACATCACTAGATGATGTTACCAGTAGTACCGCACAAGGCGGTGGCGGAAGTTTCAAAAATAGGAAACCTATAGGAGAGGTTGGTTGTTGTGAATCAGGGATGGCAGAGCGAAGCCACTGATGGACCGAAAGGTGGTTGAGGTCTCCTCTCTTTCTCTCTCTTTCTCTGACTACCTACCTACCTACCTACCTACCTATCTATCTATCTATCGATCTATCGATCTATCGATCTATCGATCAATCGATCTATCTATCTATCTATCTATCTGTCTGTCTGTCTGTCTGATTGTCTGTCTGTCAATCTGTCTATCTGTCTGTCTACCTGTCTATCTGTCTATCTGTGGTGCAGTGTCATTCAGCGTAATGTAGTGTAGTGTAATGTAGTGTAGTGTAGCGGAGTGTAGTGGAATGTAGTGTAGTGTAGTGTAATGTAGTGAAGTGTAGTGGAAGGTAGTGTAGTGTAATGTAGTGTAGTGTAATGTAGTGTAGTGGAGTGTAGTGTAATGTAGTGTAATGTAGTGTAGTGGAGTGTAGTGGAGTGTAGTTGTGTAGTCGTAGTTGTAGTTGTAGTGTAGCGGAATGTAGTGTAGTGTAATGTAGTGAAGTGTAGTGGAAGGTAGTGTAGTGCAGTGTGATGTAGTGTAGTGTAATGTAGTGAAGTGTAGCGTAATGTAGTGTAGTGTAATTTAGTGTAGTGGAGTGTAGTGGAGTGTTTTGTAGTGGAGTGTAGTTCTGTAGTTGTAGTTGTAGTTGTAGTGTAGTGGAGTGTAGTGTAGTGTTTTGTAGAAGTGTAGTGGAAGGTAGTGTAGTGTAATGTAGTGTAGTGTAGTGGATTGTAGTGTAGTGTAATGTAGTGTAGTGTATTGTAATTTAGTGTGGTGGAGTTTAGTGGAATGTAGTTGTGTAGCTGTAGTTGTAGTGTTGTGTAATGTAGTGTATTGGAGTGTAGTGTAGTGTAGTGGAGTGTAGTGTAGTGTAATGTAGTGTAGTGAAGCGAAGCGAAGCGACATCTGAACTTCCAAAAGTGGTCCAAAACCCTGGTGCTTTGTACATTTTGACTTCGAAATGTGCTTCGCGCCACAACAGCTTGCACTTTTTCGACATCTGAACCTCCAAAAGTGGCGCGAACATGTGGTGTTTTGTAAATTTTGACTTCGAAATGTGCTTCGCGCCACAACGGCGTGCACTCTTTCGACATCTCAATTGCCAAAAGTGGTCCGCACCCCTAGTGTTTTGTACATTTTGACTTGGAAATGTGCTTCGCGCCATCATATTTTAACCATACAAACCAGTAGGGATTTAGATATACAATTTGTGGGTACAATGAGATTTATATATCTAAGATGAGTTTTACTAATGTTTTAGTCATTAAAAAAGAAAGGGCGAGTCTGGATTTGTAGGGTTTGTCCCAAAATGAGCGACATTTCTTTGCAATTTCATGGGGGAAATCGATGTTCCGAACCATCGTGGGGGTACCCGTACCCAGTTTGGGACAAAACTATAGTAGAGTAGGGACAGAAACTGGGAAAACTACAAATGATTGGTGACCCCGGGGTAGTCTAACCCAGTTTGCTAACAACCAAATTTTATGGAATTTAATGAAGTCTAACCCAGTTTGCTAAAAACCAATTTTTATGGAATTTAATGATAAATTTGATGCAATGATTTTCTGCTTTGTTTCACCATTGATAATGGGCTTTGCAGTTTCTACTAGGACGACCGTGGTCCGTGGTTTTGGGCAGAAGTTAGACTCCTCGGCGCCAACCAACGTCTACCCTAGATGAATGCGCTCTAGCCAACTGGTTCCAAATGATTCTGATGGATGCTGGTCTTCTCATCTAACTACCATCTGGTTATTTAACATAGCTATGGAAAATCCCTTATAGATGGAGGTTTTACTGGAAAAATCATCTATAAATGTGCCATTTTCCAAAGCTAATAACCAGATGGTAATCATTGCGTGGTTGGGAAACTCAGTTCATGGTTCCAACTGGCTCCCCAGGACGAATGCACGGAATATAGATACTTACAGCTCTGAAGCGCTCCCTCCAAACCACTGGATAGTTAGTCGACTACCATCTCGTTATTTAACATTGGCATGGAAAATCACCATTTGTAATAGGTAAACCATCTATAAATGGGCCATTTTCCATGGCTATGTTAAATAACCAGAGGGTACCATTAAAGTTTAAAGCATTGATAGTTCAGATCATTGCCTTGATCAAGAGGGAAGTATCAGCACCAAGGCCATAGGGTATCCCAAACCAAGTGACAAACAAATCCCTATTTGTTATCGATGGCTTTCTCTCTACCATCTGGTTATTTAACATAGCGCCATGGAAAATCACCATGCTATTAACAGGTAAACCATCTATTTCTATGGGCCATCTATACCATGGCTATGTTAAATAACCAGATGGTAGATCTTCATTATCAAATTGGATCATCTTCCCGAACCTTTCTTTCACATGGATTCGACCCGAACGTCCCTTGACTGGTTGGTGGTTGAGCCCTACCCCTCTGAAAAAAAAACTTCGTCAATGGGAAGGATGACATCCCATATATGACATGGAAAATAAAAAATGTTCCAAACCACCAACCAGTTGATATCATATCTTAAAGGGTCCATCAGTTCGACCATGTTCTGAAGAAACACATCATGTTTCTCAACACCCTACTGACCTGATTTTCAAGGGTGTTCCACCCCACTCGAGCCTGACAGGTCGGTGTTCATGTCTCTTGAAACTCGATACATCTCGTTCATGTTTTCTGTGACCTTGTGGAAGTCCCCGCGATATGCAGTGCATTCAGGCTGAAAGTTTTGGTCTAGGTTGGTTCTGGCTGCACTTTAGTTTTGCCATTCATGCATTTCATGTCTATGTAACCGCCACATCGCTACAAAAAAAAAGCGCAAGGTACATTCAGCTACATCTTCAGCTACAATCACCGTTCGATGAACGGCCACGGATCGACGTTCAGTATCAAGAGCAAGGCGCGCAGCGTTAGTCGTTTTACCCTGGATTCAAGAACAAACTCCACTCGAGGGGATGCACTTCTGAAAGGTACCCCCAAATCATCCAAGTCATGAACGACCGTTTTAGCATTGAAACCCATGGTGACTTGGGGATCCCCCATGTCTTTAGAAACCCCATATTAGGCCATGAACATTGGCAGTTCAACACCTCCAAGATCATGTGGGAAACTGGGCCCAGGGCCCAAGATTTATGGCCAAATCTTTCAGCCATGTTGGGCACTCACCCCATGTTTTATCTGGTTTTCAACCATGCAACCTGGCCGTTGGTCGTGTTCCGCTAGAAGTGACAAACTACCAGAGGCTACTTCCCATTCGTATCCCCGGCAATCATGTCCTTTTATCTTTTGGTAAAAATAGCTTTGGGCCGGGAGCTGGTATACCATATATCATCATAGAAACCTGTTAAAGGGGTAAACCTTCAACCCCCTCTATGAAAATCAACCAACCAATGGGAAAAAGGACATCTATGGTTCTCATCACTATAAAACCCGCATGAAATCATTCGTAGATTACCAGCTTTTCGGATGAGCTTTGAGCTTTTCGGTGACCGTGATTGCAAACATCACGAAAGTTGAGATAAACGATGATAAACTGATTCCAAAAAGGGTCCTAAAACCTCACAAAAAAAGCACAGATAAAACTTTTAAACTATAGGATGGGGCCCCCCAGTTATAAGTTGGTTTATAAACCATTATAATCCCCATTAACTATAGTTATATCTACCATAAACCATTGTTAAGCCACTTATAAACCAACTTAGCTATCTTGGGGGCCCCATCCTGATAGGTTTTTTTATTTTTGTAATCTTTGTAGGGCTCAGATTTGCTGAATCCACGATGTAGACGACTTGGGAACACAGCATTTTTTTTGTTGTTTCTTGTTCCAGCATTATGTTGGGTCAAATTGCCCCCACCAAGAAATTGCACATGCCAAATCAGCCAGGGAAAGCTCGACACAATGAACAGTCCACTGGTAGTCCTTGCCTTGGCCGGGTTATTTGTGGGTCTGTTCAAAATAGGGTAACCACAATTTCAGCGATGAATCGCGACTTTCTACAGTAAATTGCAATTTGTGGTGTGTAACTAACCCATTTTCAGACACACCCAGTATCACATTGTTAGTGATACTATCCCATGACATTTCCTTCAAAATTACCCTCTGGTAAATTAACATAGACCCTGGCAGTTGTCGGGGTTGGAAGATTAGTTTCCATTAAAACTAGGCTATTTTCAGGGTCAACAAGTTAATTTACCAGAGGGTAAAGCACCATGAAAAACCCTCAACTAAACGTATCTGGCAGGCAAGAAACGATGCTCTGAACTCCATCTAACTTTTCCCTGGAATCCTTCTGTCCCATCATTGACAGAGCAGAAGTTACAGCTTCGAAAGATGAAGCGACCTGAGCAAGTCGAAAGAGGCCAAAGATCCTGGAGTGGAATTTGATGGCATATAGTACAATAGAATATCTTGCGATCATCCCCAATATCAATGGATTGGTTGGAAAATCGAAACCGGAAACATCAGGAAACCATATAGATTTATGATTTTCCCATGAAATTCATGGGGCTTTCCTGTAAATTATCCCTTAAACCAAAACATTGACAATATAGATTATGATATGGGATTTGATTTGCATATAGCTGGGTAAATTATGATATTTCACCAACCTGAATCTTGCGGCCATTTGGGGATGATTCCCCTTATTAACCATGATTTCCAGTGAGGGAGATCAGTGAGGTCGTTATAATTTACCCAGATATAGTATGGGAGTCCCAAAAAAAGGTTTTGAGTCCTGTTGTGATCATCCCCAAGATATTGGGCTATCGTTTTTGATCCCATATGATCCCATATGATCTTTAAGCAACGGGGGGTTAGCAGCCACTGCTCATACAATGGGATACAAGACTAAGAATATGATATGTGAGTTTGCTCTAGAAAAGGTGACTTGCTGTACATAATGGACCTGTGGTTTGTCTAAAGATGGAAGATCGCCAATAGCCCACAATGTGGGGCCCCCAAGATAGCTAAGTTGGTTTATAACTCCCATTTCACTATGGTTTATGGTACTTATAACTATAGTTGTGGGGGTTTATAAACCAACTTATAAATAGGGGGCACCACATTGCAAGTGATAACTAGTCACGTCAATGGTGAAAATTGAATGATCAAGCATGGATTGTGGGGGCAGGGCTGCTTCAGAGAAACTTCTACGCAGTATCAGTCAGCTAGAATCATCTTCTGATCCAGGGATAGAAAGTAAACAATGATTGAACCACCCACCAAGAAGTGAGCAGTCTTCAAAAGCTGCAACGTCATTTCATGCCAATACTGGTTGGCTACTTAAGAACGGGATTCCCGCAATGGATTTTGATGGTCCCCAATATGTATAGTATGTATATGTATGTATAATGCCAACCCCGGATGAGACTAAACCATGGTTTATTAATTAGGGGATACTCCTCCAATAGTCATTTCATCTGATACTTTTTTATGGTACCCTCCCAATGAAACAGCTGTTTGTTCGGGGTTTATTAATCCAGGATTGACATTACATCTGAAACATTGGGGTATATATATATACCCTCTGGTAATTTAACATAGCTATTGAAAATGGCCCATAGATAGTTGATTTTCCCATTAAAAATGGTGATTTTCCAATAGCTATGTTAGTTTACCAGAGGGTAACCCCTGAACATGGCTCACTTTCGAAACTTTCCGGACCTTTTGACCTGGTGTAGCGAAAGTTGCCCCTTCACCTGGTGTAGCCTTTGTGAAAGTTCGGGCAAGGTAGCGGATTGATTCTTGTACCCTCTGGTAAACTAACATAGCTATTGAAAATCACCATTTTTAATGGGAAAATCCACTATAAATGGCCATTTTCAATAGCTATGTTAAATTACCAGAGGGTATCATTTTAATGCGTAAATCCACTATTTCAACTGGTCCATTTTCTATGTCGCAAACTGTGAGTTTGTTTACCAGGCCGGGTCAACATCGCAGCATCGCTACTCCACCATTTTTAGATCCCTGCCCGTTGAATGGCTGTTATCATACGGCCATTTGGAGATGATTTCCCGAATCCCAATCATCATTCCAGTGACGGAAATTATCCTGCTTGGTTGTTGGTATACCTACCCCTCTGAAAAATGAGTTCGAGTGAAAGTCAGTTGGGATTTTATGACATTCCCAACAGAATGGGAAAGTCATAAAATTCCATATATATTTATTAACCATGTATTTCCATATGTTAACCATATATCTATGATTAACCAAAATAAAATTCCATGGTTCCAGTCACCACCAACCAGATTCCATTTATATACTTCGAGAATTTTCCCAGCACCCGTCCATGTCCAGTTCGGAGGCTTTCCATCGATTTCCCATGGAGTTTCCCTATAGTTGTCGGTGGTTTCCTATCATTTTCCCATGAGCTCAAGGATCTCCCATGGCTACAATGTGAGGCCCCCAAGATGGCTAAGTTGGTTTAGATTCGCCCCAGTAACTAGTTCGTTATTTGCGTATCATAAACCATAGTGAAATTGGAATTATAAACGCACCAACTGAATGCTATCGAACGGGAGCCTCACATTGTAGAAATCCGCCATTGATCATCCCGCTGCCTCCTTCGAGGTTTGCTTGTAGAAAGGCAGCAGACTTGTGACCGTCGCCTCCACCAAAGCCTGTAGCGATGAGACCCAGCTTCTGATGAGTTCTACCAGTGATTTCATGGTGATTTCATGGGATTCTAGTCAGCAAACTAAAAGGGCTTCACCATGTTTCACCCTGAAACTATGGGGATTTTACTAGTAATAATATAGGGATATCCCATGGATCTATGGCATACCGTGGGATATCATAAGATTTACGGGAGATATTGGTTTCGTTGACGAAATCGCCAAGTCCACGCACAGTTGCCATGGTTAACGTGTGGGTTCCTGCGGGATATAACAAACCAGTCATTATATAGTCAACGGAGTGAACAAGAACCAACAAACATCACTTGGAGGGTCTCGCGTTGCATTCACCACATGAAAATAAGGTCCAGTTCCCATATGCTCCATGTATATAGTATATTTACCTACATTTGGGCCATTTGTTGGGTAAATGTGGGTATATATTCCATACATGGAGCATATGAGGTTTGAACAACCGCAATTTCTCTGCAGAAATTTCCTGATCTGTTCAAGGCTGATTCGGAGATGATTCTGAGATGGGCCACGGTCCATATTTGTTTTTTTGCTCCAAGTCATCACTTTTTGAAGAGTGTACTACTCTCCATTAACATTGCCAATCTTAGATTCCCTGCAAAAAAGTAAATTCTTTGCTGGTTAGTAGATAATCCCATACCAAAAGACTAGTTAGGATTAAAGTATCCATCTAAGATTGACCTAGTTAACCTCAACTTTGGGCTGTAGCTCATATGGGCTACGCATATCTTCTGGGCGATTTCTGCAGTATTCCTGATCACTATTAATAATTGATATCCAATCATTGATAATGAGAAATAATATTAATAATGATAGTGCATGGCATTCTTGGATATCAATATGTGTTGTGATATGTTGTGAGACCACCACGTCCAATTCTGTGGCAAAGCAATGGTTTTGACTCTCATATCCATACAATGTGGGGACCCCAAGATAGCTAAGTTGGTGCAAATAACTCCCATTTCACTATGGTTTACGGTACTTATAACTATAGTTATGGGGGTTTATAAACCAACGTTCACATCACTGGGGGGGCCAACATATCCATAAGCATAGTGACATAATGACATTCAGCTGCCACAGCTGCCGTGAGGTGGCGATGGATCTGCCTGGTTTGATGCAGCTGGGTACTGCTAAGTGTAGTTGCTGATGTCCACGAGAAATTTATGTCAACAAGCTGGCTCTCTATAGCGACATTTCAGTTGATTCGATCTACCCAGATGCTCCATGGTGCTGGTATATTTACCTACAAAACTGGGTGATTTTGTTCGGGCAAATGTTGGTAAATATTCCATACATGGAGCATATGGGCTACAGCTTCATTGGCTATAACACAAGTTTTCGGCTGGATGAAAATCGTTGCACCTGTTCTATACTCTATACGCTATGTTGCCTCTCAAACACACCGACTATTACGAAGGCACCGTACCAGTAGTACCGCACAAGGCGGTGGCGGAAGTTTCAAAAATAGGAAACCTATACGAGACATTGGCTGTTGTGAATCAGGGATGGCAGAGCGAATCCACTGATGGACCGAAAGGTGCTTGAGGTCTCCTCTCTTTCTTTCTCTTTCTCTGACTATCTACTTACCTACCAGCCTATCTTCTATGTATCTATCTATCGATCTATCTATCTCTCTCTTTCTCTCTTTCATCTAATTACCTATCTACCTATCTACCTATCTACCTATCTACCTATCTACCAATCTACCAATCTACCAATCTACCTATCTACCTATCTACCTATCTATCTATCTATCTCTCTCTCTCTCTCTTTCATCTGTCTATCTGTCTAGCTGTCTACCTGTCTGTCTATCTATCTGTCTATCTGTCTACCTGTCTATCTGTGGTGCAGTCTCATTCAGTGTAATGTAGTGTAATGTAGTGTAGTGGAGTGGAGTGTAGTGGAATGTAGTGTAGTGTAGTGTAGTGTAATGTAGTGTAGTGTAGTGTAATTTCGTGTAGTGGAGTGTAGTTGTGTAGTCGTAGTTGTAGTTGTAGTGTAGTGTAGTGTAATGTAGTGAAGTGTAGTGGAATGTAGTGTAGTGTAATGTAGTGTAGTGTAGTGTAATTTAGTGTAGTGGAGCGTAATGGAGTGTATTGTAGTGGAGTGTAGTTGTGTAGTTGGAGTTGGAGTTGTAGTGTAGTGGAATGTAGTTTAATGTAGTGAAGTGTAGTGGAAGGTAGTGTAGTGCAGTGTGATGTAGTGTAGTGTAATGTAGTGAAGTATTGTAGTGTAGTGGAGTGTAGTGTAGTGTAATGTAGTGTAATTTAGCGTAGTGGAGTGTAGTGGAGTGTAGTTGTGTAGCTGTAGTTGTAGTGTTGTGGAGTGTAGTGTAGTGGAGTGGAGTGTAGTGTAATGTAGTGTAGTGTAGTGAAGCGAAGCAAGCGACATCTGAACCTCCAAAAGTGGTCCGAACTCCTGGTGTTTTTAACATGTTGACTTCGAAATGTGCTTTGCGCCACAACGGCGTGCACTTTTTCGACATCTCAACTTCCAAAAGTGGTCCGAACGTGGTGTGTTTTGTACATTTTACTTGGAAATGTGCTTCGCGCCACAACGACGTGCACTTTTTCGACATCTCAACTTCCAAAAGTGCTCCGAGACCGCTAGTTTTTAATACTTTTTGCTTCCAAATGTGCTTCGCGCCACAACGCCGTACACTTTTTCGACATCGCAACTTCCAAAAGTGGTCCGAACCCCTGGTGTTTTTAACATTTTGACTTCGAAATGTGCTTCGCGCCACAACGGCGTGCACTTTTTCGACATCGCAACTTCCAAAAGTGGTCCAAAACCCTGGTGCTTTGTACATTTTGACTTCGAAATGTGCTTCGCGCCACAACGGCGTGCACTTTTTCGACGTCGCAACTTCCAAAAGTGGTCCGACAATGGTGTGTTTTGTACATTTTGACTTGGAAATGTGCTTCGTGCCACAACGGCGTGCAATTTTTCATCTCTCATCTGGCCAGCTGGCTCCGCACCCGCCGCTTTAGCGAGCCTACTTTTCGACCCTCCGGGGCCACAAATCATTGGAAAAACACAGTGAATCGCGACTTTCCTACCTTTTCACGCATCTCCATCTTCTTTCTTCTTACTCTTTCTCTTCTACTCTACTCTTCTCTCTTCTGATCTTTCTCTTCTCTCTGCCTCTGCCCTGCTCTTCATCTGTCCATATTGTCGGAAGTTTGACTTCTAAACTTCCTTCGATCAGTGATACATGACTTCAACAAAGCTGCCCCTCCCAAACAATGCTCTTTGGATATTACACAATGCCAGAAACGAATCAAGTGACTTTTTTCTCACCGGGTCGGTTCATCAACCAGGTCATTGTTCATTTGTCTCAATGAGTGCTGCTTGAATCTGTGAAATAATGCACATATCAAACATGGCAATGGACAATCCCCCATTTATACATGAGTTTTCCCATGAAAATTCACTGTGGTTGTTCAGTTGTTCCACTGAAAACCCTATAAATATCAGGGATTTTCCAGCTAGCGACCTTTGACTACCAGAGGGTATTTGTTGCTTCACTCTCCATTTTAATCTACCATCTGGTTATGACTAACATAGCCATGGAAAATCCCAACCATAAATGGAGGTTTCTAGCTGGGAAAATCCACTATAAATGGGCCATCTATACCATGGCTATGTAACAAATTACCAGAGGGTATTCCATGGAAAATGGCCCATCTATAGATGGTTTACCTATTAAAAATGGTGATTTTCCATGGCTATGTTTAAAAACCAGATGGTGCCTTGAAAGCGGTCATGTTTTCACTCACCGTGGAATTCGCAGAGCCTGCCTGGGCGTTTTACGATTTTTCGGGGAGGTACCTTCTGAAAAAAACGCAACAGAGATGGACAATTTTCCGGGGTTGTTCTTAACCATTCACCATCCATTCACCACTATTAACCATCATGAAAACCATTGTATTAAGCATCACTAACCATCAATATGCATGTTCAAAACAACCATATATCATATATAAATATCTGGAAATGGATGGAAATGGAATGAACCCCCCTGCGATACCAGCTTCAATGTCAGATGAGTCTCCAGTTGCTGGCATTCTCCGATTGAAGTGATGATTAAACTGCGATCATAGCTAATTATTTGGGTTATTCCAGGGGACATGGGCCCAGTTACAAATCATTGTCTGATTGTTGGAATCTCATTGAAGTACAGCTTGTATAGATAGGCTCCGATAAAAAATCCCAATCACTTCCCCCGAGTCGTTGTCATGACGCCCACCAGACTGCATGTAAACAGTTTCCATGGTTGTTTGAAATAAGGTACAATGTGAGGCCCCCCAGCTATAAGTTGGTTTAGATTCGCCCCAGTAACTAGTTCGTTATTTGCATACCATAAACCATAGTGAAATTGGAGTTTTGCACCAACTTAGCTATCGAACGGGGGCCTCACATTGTATGCAATCTTCCAAGCCCACTTTTACTAATCGTGTCATCCGGGCATTCATCGCATTCATCCTCCCAAAATATGGTAATTCATAGCTGTTGGTTCTCAATACCAGTGGCCAAGATTGGTTCTATATACCCATTATATCCCAATGTTTGATAGTTGAAACCCCATTAGTATCCATTGCCAATCTTAGATACCCTGAAAAACAAATCAATTCTTAGCTGGTGAACGTAGATAATGCCATTGATACCAAAAGACTCCTTAGGATTAGTTCGTACCCATCTAAGATTGACCTAGATTGTAGTATCCATCTTGTTCTTCGAATTGGATAAACCCAATCCCAATCCGTTGCGGCGCCGCAAAGCCGAGTCGCCGCAACTGTTTGGCTTCCCACAATTCATATGGCCAAACATATGGTACGGTACCCTCTGGTAAATTAACAGTTCGACCCTGGCAGTTGTCGGGGTTGGAAGATTAGCGTCCATTAAAACCAAGGCTATTTTCAGGGTCAACAAGTTAATTTACCAGAGGCTACCTCCATTGTTCGGATCCTGAAAATCTGAACATCCCTACGGATGTGTTGCACTATGGGTTTGTTGGCGAATTGATCCCTAATCCCATCTCCACTAAGAACATGCCCCATAAATCATGGGAGCATGCATAGGGCCCATCACTCGGGTCACTAATGGGTGTCCGCCACCAAGATAGCTAAAAAGGTGAAGTTCTCACCATGCCTCACCGTGCCCTATGAATGAAGGGGCTACAAGCCCAAATCATGGGATTGATAACCAATATTATAATGGGTTGTTACCACATACATACGGGACAACATTAAAAAATGCAATTCCAACTCCACAATAGATCACGAAAAAGAACACAACAACCAGAGTAAACCAATGTTGCTTGCGATTTGTTCACATCATGTTGGGGTACATCGCTATATCCGTATATCCTTTATTTGTAGGGAGAAAACCATCACTAGTCGGGTCCAGTAGCTCAACCCGCTGGTTGGTTTGAATCTTGAGGTTCTATTTTTTCAGGTATTCAGCAAAGATTTCCGGTGGGTTTTCCCAGGCATTCTCTGGTTGGTGGTTGAGCCCACCCCTCTGAAAAATATGAGTTCGTCAGTTGGGATTTTATGAAATTCCCAACTGAATGGAAAGTCATAAAATTCCATGGTTCCAAACCACCAAGCAGTCTGATTGAATTATAATTCACTAACCCGAAAAGAAAAAATGCCATTTGGGGATGATTCCTCTTATAATACCATCTGCTTATGACTAACAGTTCGCCATGGAAAATCACCATTTTTAATAGGTAAACCTCTATTTCTATGGGCCATTTCCCATGGCAAACTGTTAGTCATAGCCAGAGGGTAAATCTTAGAATAATCAACCATCATTTCAGTGACATCACGAGATGAGGTCAAGGTCATTGTCAAATTCATCCAGAGACATTGGTACTTCAAATTTCTCAAAAAATGCCAAGGAATTCAAGGCAAAAAAAACTACAGGATGGTGCCCCATGGTGCCCAGTTACCAGTCGATCCAAAAACCCCATGAATACTACAGCTATATCTGCCATCTTGTTATTTAACATAGCCATGGAAAATCACCATTTTTTATAGGTAAACCATCTATATAAATGGGCCATTTTCCATGGCTACGTTAAAAAACCAGAGGGTACCAGAAACCATAGAATTCAGCCGCTTGTATCTGAACTGAATGCGGCAACCAACGGGGGCCCCATCTTGTAAGATTTCCCAGTTTCTTTCCCAGACATGTCCTCATGTGTCCAGCAAAACAACTCTTCCTCAACCAAGCTGCGGCTTTAAAATTCTCCACATTCCTCGGCTTGAGGATTTTTGAGCACAGATACCCTGATCATGTTATCATTTTGTGAGGGAACATATGTACGACATTGGATGTATTATTGCCAATCTTAGATAGCCTGCAAAAAAAAATGCTGGTTAGTAGATATCCCCATTGATACCAAAAGACTAACGGATTAAAGTATCCATCCGAGGTTGGCCTAGGTATGTAGAACATGATATCAATTGTATGGATAATATGCAGTATGATGTGTCCATGTCTTGCCGGATAAATAGCTAATTAAACTACCCAAGCAATGTTTAACCTATCTATAGCTGCAGCTTTTTAACTGCATCAATAATGCTCATGTTATGCCCTCCACAACTGTCCAAAAAATGTGGATACCCTCTGGTAAACAAACAAAAAGCTCTTGAAAATGGACCATAGAAATAGTTGATTTACCCATTAAAGATTGTGATTTTCCATAGCAAAACGTTACTTTACCAGAGGGTACCCCAATTCATGGCCAGTTTGCGGGCACACTTTTTAGTTTCAAAGGTTGATCGTTGATCTGGCTAACACACGCGGAATGAGAGACACCATTTTTTTTGGAAACAAGACAGACCTCTCAGCAGAAGCAATTATTGCTGCAAAAGCACAACCCTGCTCCAGTTGTTGAATTCCCTCGGAGAAATTCTGATCATTTGGCATGTCTGCATATCCTCAACCTATGTTTTTCAGTCGCCAGTCATTCCGAATCAGAATACAAAGTGGGCTAATCGATCATGCGTCAAACATTTGAAACAAGTTTTGCAGGATTTTTTGAGACGATTTTCACTAACTACATACTTTCCAGATCAAACATCCAATTCTTCTGTACATTTGAGCCGCGAAACATGCCCCCTATCCCTATAGTATTATACAAAAATTGGTTAATAGGTAGACCTCTTATGGGTTGGAAACATGACCAACCAACAAATGTATGTTTAAACCACTGTTCTTGGTTGTATCCCCATTTTTCTTTCAAAGTACTGTTTTTTATTCCTATTTCAGTTGGTTACCCTCTGGGGTAAACTAACATTTTGCAAACTGGAACATCACCATGCTATGTAGCTGGGTAAATCAACTCTTTCGACTGGGCAATTTTCAATGGCAAGCTGTGAATGTTTACCAGAGGCTAAATCACCATCTGGTTATTTCATGTAGCTATGGGAAATCACCATTTTTAAGAACGGTAAATTTTCATAAGTCAGCTATTTCTATGGGCCATTTTCCATAGCTACGTTACTCTCTGGTAATTTAACATAGCTATTGAACATGGCCATAGAAATAGTGAGTTTTCCCATTAAAACTGGATAAACATGGTGATCTTCCATTGTTTTCTGTATGTTTACCAGGCCGGGTAAGTAACCAAAGGGTAAGTTTTGGTCAAATCATCAGGAAGCCGTTTCTCAACCGGCGAATTGGCGAGTTGAGGTGCGTCTGAACGTCTTTCTCCAGCGTCGCTAGTCTGGCATCCTCAGTACAGGCTGATGCTACCCCGACGTTTGATCTAATTTATAAACTATAATCCCTAATATATAATTGATATTAGTGTATACACATATACGTATGTGTATAAATAAATATATATATATATTGACCCCTAACTAAAAAGGTGGTGGATAAGTATTAGATGTCACCTTTGAGATCCCCCATAATCCCTAGGAATATCATAAAACAATGAATAGTAGAGTATAGTTGATAAATTATGTTTATAAACCCATGCACATTATAGTTATATCCCCCATAATCCCATAGGTAAATCATCATGAATTTGCCATTTTCGATAGATATAGGCTATATCAAATTACCAGTAGGTATATCGAAGTAGTTAATGGGGTTTATAGACTATTTTATAACAGCGGGGCACCTATGTATAAGCAATGTTTAATAGCCCTGTTAATAGATTTTCACCCGCGGTTATACTATGCAGTACTTTGAAGGAGTATCACAATTGGGAAATCCGTTCTTAACCAGCCAACCTAAAATGGACATGTAGAACATCCGGAGATGGATATGAATGGGATTCACCAGCTATATGCGAAAAATGACGTGACATACTGGACATCAATGCAGACGGCAATCTGATGTATGGGGATTGGTCGATTGGTCACAACGCCAAAAACCCCTGGGTTTTCAAAGAGTTGGGATTTAAGGATGCCCTGAGAATGGTCTCCTGATTAGATTTTCACAGCTATTCTTCCGTAGCCATGTGAGGGTTTCCTAACACGGGGGACCCTTATCATGACCAATCACTTCGATGACAACATGCAGTCCCCCATTTGTTTAGGCTCATGAAAACTCCATACTAGGCATATAATACCAAACTTGTTTCGCTATGAAACATTCATCAATGCCCTCAACAATTATGGTCCCCGAGCGGAGCCCGATGTTCTATTTGGTTTATTCTGCCTATCAGGTTCGCAAGGGCCATGATGGGCCATGATGACAGCGTGTTCAAAAAAAAAATACTTCCCCCAAATCCGAGAATACACCAGATACATGACACAATATAGCCAAGAAAAAAACATTAAAAAACTACCAGAGGGTCCCTGATGGTATCATGTTCACTTGCTTCTGAAAAAAAAAAACGTGCCAGAATATGAGAAAAATTGCGGATCATTATCCAAGTATATGATATGGATGAAAAAGAAGATGAACACATGAAACCAGCAAAAAAAAGCTCAATAACTTTGTAAAATTGTAAATGCAGTATAGAATTTTTCAATACAAAGATCTAGTAATATGTAGTGGTAATAAACTAGTAAGCACCAGTTCATCTAGTAATATCTAGCTATAGAATTGGCGAACTGGCTCCTAGCAGCCCATCTTGAGATCATCTTGCTGCGTAAACTACGTAGGGAATGGGTGCGGGGAGGTAAAGGTAAACATTTAGTTGGCGAAATGGCCATAGAAATAGTTGATTTACCCATGAAACATGATGATTTTCCAGAGTTCTTTGTACGTTTACCAGAGGGTAATAGTTGTTATGTATAAACCATTCCCGAATTCCCTACGTTTTGCACCAGTAAGTTATTTTACCATCTGGTTATTTAACATAGCCATGGAAAATGGCCCATTTATAGATGGTTTACCTGGGTTTACCTATTAAAAATGGTGGATCGTTCCATGGCGAACTGTTAGTCATAACCAGAGGGTAGATCCAGTTCAATGAGATTTTTCACCCCAGTCAGAACACTCCACTCACTGGTGGTGAGTTTCTAGATCCTACACACGGTGAACACGGTTAGCCATGGCCATGTCTTGCGAACATGTCACCCACCTGGCGTGACGCCATGAAGATTGGCAGGTTAGACTATCAAAATTATCAAAGACCAAATGAGATGCAAAAAAAAACAAGTATGTAATTTCAGATATCCTTTAGTTGGGAAAATCATTTTTTAAGTCACTGGAAAGGCTTGGGGCTACCCAATATCCGACTGAAGCTGAGGCACCCATTGACTAATTCGTCATATCCCCCATGAACCCATTGAAATGCACCGGCGCCTCACCTTGTAATTTGTAAAAGGTCTCCAGAAAATAACAATACAGACCATGGGGTTTATAAACCAACAAACATCACCTGAAATGCTATCCTTCTTGTTTGTCTTTAAATGTTATATCATCCCTGTATTGTCCATCATTTTCCTGGCTGAAACCTGAAAGTTTTCATACTCATGGAATCTTATAAACCATAGATGTACTCAAAAAACGTTCTATACCCATATGCTCCATGTATGGTATTTTTACCTACATTTGGGCGATCTGTAGGGCAAATGTTGGTAAATATTGCATACATGGAGCATATGGGATACATCAAACAATATATTTTTCATATTGTAGATGTACAATGATTGGGATGTCAAAACAACCAATTGGGTATAAAAAGTGGGTACTTCTAAGCCAGACCACCGTAATTGTTGACTTATAATACAAATCTATTATTGGTTAGAAACCATCTCTGGTTGGTGGTTTGACCCCCTCTGAAAAATGTGAAAGTCAGTTGGGATGATTATTCCCAATATATGAAACAGTAAAAATGTTCCAAACCACCAACCAGTATTGGTTAGAAACCATTTCCCCTAAATCAATCTAAATCATCCATTTTAGTAGGATGTTCCATTCAAAACCACCCATTTGGGGTACCTGCATTTAAGGAAAATCCCCATATCATGTGTATTATATAATATCACTATGTATATATATCACTGTATGTAATTATGTCACTATAATATCAGTAATAATTGCTTTATATATCACTATATATATATGTAAATATTGGGTACTATACTGAAATATTATGTTAAACTATATCATTGTAATAGTCACTTTATATATATATGTATACATACATCACTACTGTATTTTTTTAAGATTATATCATTCTATCATGTAGCAATACTATATTTCCGATATCACTATATAGGCTATATAGTGATATAATATCACTATAGCACTATAATATCACTATATCGCTATAATAATATCACTACTATATAATATACCTATAATTGTTGCTTCAAATGTATATTATATATATATACCATATCACTAAAGCAGTTGCTTTAGATATCACTATGTCTAAATTGTATAGCAACTATTATAGTGATAGTGATATTATAGGGATATAATGGTGTATATATATAGTGACTTATAGTGATTCTTTAAAGCTATGTAATATCACTACTATAATATCACTATAATAGCTGCTATATATATATTGATAGTAACAAAAAAACTAGATAGCACAGTACACCTGATATTCACTATAATAGTAAAATAGTGATATCATATAATTCACTACTATATACTATTATATTGATAAACCAAATATAATAGTATAGTACACCTAATATTCATTGTCATATTCATATTCACCAATAGTATAATATAACCATAATAGTTGCTTCATATATATATATATATAGGGTACTTCCAAACCACCCAACGTTTTCACATCAGACCAAGGCCGGCGCCATGGTGTCAAAGGATTGTGTCATCTCGCGGGTGGCCTGCGTCATGCCGATGTTCGTTCGTTTGGTGGTTGAATGGAGATTTAATGGAACTTTATATGAGTCTATGAGTTTATGGTTCAATCATTGGACTTTAATGGGATTTTATGGTGACTCAATGGGATTTCCATGGGATATAATGGGAGTTATGAGATTTCATAGGATTTAACGGTGACTTAATGGAGACTTATTAGGATTTGATTTTTTTTTTTAAGGAATTTAATTGGATGTTATATGAGTTTTTGGTGATTCAGCAGTGTTGAACAAACAATCATGGGGATAATTGATGGAAATCACCCGTTGGTAAGTTAATCCTTTGCAATGGAAATTCTTTATAATAATGTTTAACAGGTCAATCATCCATATTCCTCTATACATGGGAAACTAATCCATGGCTATGACAAATTACCCTCTGGTAATTTAACATAGCTATGGAAAATCACAATTTTAATAATAGGTCAATCATTCATAAATGGTCCATTTTCCAGTTCGCAAACTCTGAATGTTTACCAAAGGCTATACCATCATATATCCCATTAAATCCCATTAAATCCCATTAAATCAATAGCTATGTTAGTCATTACCAGAGGGTGACCATGAAAAAGGCGCATCAGATGGGGATTCCATCAGCAACGACTAGGCCACCTTGAGATACCCCAGGCCCCATCACGCTTCGGTTTGAGGTAACCGCCACCATGTGCAATTTTTTTTCCGCCAGCCCAAATCATGTTCCAGTGGGGAAAACAACACATATTATAAATATGTATATATATAAATATGAAGGCAGTTCAAGGCATAGATAAGTATCATTGCAAAGACATGCTGGTTGGTGGTTTCAACCATCTTGAAAATTAATGAAACTTATGAGTTCGTCAATGGGAAGGATGACATCTCATATATGATGGAAAAATAATCCAAATGTTCCAAACCACCAACCAGCTATTTTTTGCTGCTGATTTTTGTCTTTTTGCCGGTGTTTCTCCAATTGTTGTCTTTCCAACCCCCCATTTCTTCTCAACTTTCTACAGTTATGGCCATTTACCAGTTATAAGTACTTATAACCCCATTTATAGAATGTATAATCCCATTTATAACCAGTTATAACTAATAAATGGCCATAACTGTAGTGTGTGTGTGTGAACATAGTTCACCCTCCGGCTGGTTTAATCCCGATTCTGCTTTGAAAAAAAACTACTGGTACCCTCTGGTTATGACGAACATAGCCATGGAAAATGGTCCATTTGTAGATGGTTTACCTATTAAAAATGGTGATTTTCCATAGTTTTTGTATGTTTACCAGAGGGTACTGGTCATTTTTCTTGCACTGGTGTTGCCGTAAATCAGGTGAAATCCCCATTTCTGTCCGTCCAAGCCCCAGCTCAATGAGGCAGTTTTCCCTCTGAATGCCATTCAGAAATCCCTTGATGCGTAAAAAATATCGGAGCTGGGTCACATCTTTCATCATGTTTCCCTCCCTCAGCCCCGCTCCGCGGACTCCGCTCCGCGGACTCCGCGCCTTGCGAATGACTTCTTTTGCCTCATCCATGATCTCGGACATGTGCTGGGGAATCGCATCTTGCGCTGTCAGCTCGATGGTGGGAGCCAGGCCCTGGATGCCAATGCGTAAGGCTTTCTCCGAACATGGGGCCGTATGCCATCGTATGCCGCCAAACTAAGCATATTTTAGTGGCTAACTAATATGATAAACTGATGATCAGCCAGAGTTTTTTTGGGACGCCCTATTTTTGGACACACCCGGATGGCTCAAAGAGCTGCCAAATCGTGGCTCAACTGAGTAGATCAATATCAATCGTGTGTCTCTTACAAACTAATTCCATATAATTGAATGCCTTACCAAGTCCACATACTTGATACTATCTGGCAGCTTAACACTGTTGACAAGCACCATCAGTGGTGGGGTTACCAGTAGTACCGCACAAGGCGGTGGCGGAAGTTTCAAAAATAGGAAACCTATAGGAGACGTTGGTTGTTGTGAATCAGGGATGGCAGAGCGAAGCCACTGATTGACCGAAAGGTGGTTGGAGTTGTGTTTGCTGGAGTGGTCGCAATGGCTGCAGTGGTCACCTCACCCACAACTGCTGGATGTAGTGTGATGTACTGCAACTGTAGTTGTAGTTGTAGCGTAGTGGAGTTGTAGTTGCGGTGTAATGTAATTAGTGTAGTGTAGTTGCAGATATATAGTTGTAGCTGTAGTTGTTTTGTAGTTGTAGTTGTAGTTGTTGTACTTGTAGTTGTAGTTGTAGTTGTAGTTGATGTTGTTGTTGTTGTAGTTGTAGTAGTTGTAGTAGTTGTAGTAGTAGTAGTAGTTGTTGTTGTTGTTGTTGCTGTTGTTGTTGTTGTAGCTGTAGTTGTTGTGTGGTTGTAGTTGTTGTGTAGTGTAGTTGTAGTAGTAGTTGTTGTAGTTGTAGTTGTTGTTGTTGCTGTTGTTGTTGTTGCTGTTGCTGTTGTTGTTGTTGTTGTTGTAGTTGTAGTTCTAGTTGTAGTTGTAGTTGTTGTGTAGTTGTTGCAGTTGTAGTGGTTGAAGTTGTAGTTGTTGTGGTTGGTGTTGTTGTTGTTGTTGTTGTTGCTGTTGCTTTTGTCGTCGAAGTTAGGGTAGTTAAGTTAGTGAAGTTAGTTAAGCTAGTCAAGTTAGTTAAGTTAATCAGCGTCTACTTTTTCGACATCTTCACGTCAAAAAAGGTTCAAAACCCTCAGTTTTTTACACTTTTGACTTCGAAATGTGCTTCGCGCCACAACGGCGTGCACTTTTTCGACACTTTTTCGACATCTGAACCTCCAAAAGTGGTCCGAGAATGGTGTGTTTTGTACATTTTGACTTGGAAATGTGCTTCGCGCCACAACGGCGTGCACTTTTTCGACATCGCAACTTCCAAAAGTGGTCCGAACCCCTAGTGCTTTGTACATTTTGACTTGGAAATGTGCTTCGCGCCACAACGGCGTGCACTTTTTCGACATCGCAACTTCCAAAAGTGGTCCAGAGCTGCGGTGTTTTGTACATTTTGACTTGGAAATGTGCTTCGCGCCACAACGGCGTGCAACTTTTGCATCGCTCCTGTGGCCAGCTGGCTCCGCACCCGCCGCTTTAGCGAGCCTACTTTTCGACCCTCCGGCGCCACAAATCATTGGAAAAACACCGTGTTTCGCGACTTTCCTACCTTTTCGCGCATCTGTAGCGTCTGTCCTCTTACTCTTTCTCTTCTGATCTTCTCTCTTCTAATCTTCCTCTTCTCTGTGCCTCTGCCCTGCTCTGCTTTTCATCTCTCCATATTGTCGGAAGTTTGGCTTCTAAACTTCCTTCGATAAAAGTTCTGTGGTCGGAGCAAACTGGATAGGTCAGGTCAAATCTGGGATTCCTTTTGCAGGTGAAGCCCACTGTCGATAGCAAGGTTGATAACTTGATCAACTGTCGGGTTTATAGGGGGAAAAATAAGTATACCCCATATGCGAACCATGGTGCTGGAATATGCACACCAACATTTGCCAACATTTGCCCGAACAAAATCACCCAGATTTGTAGGAAGATATATATATATATATATTGAAATATATACCATACATGGAGCATATGGGAATGTTAGCACATCCTCTGAGAATTCTTATGGAAACTTCTTGCCATATCTGCTTTTCTTTCGTGTCATCATCTCATGCATTTCTCGGGATTGAACAACAAAAAACAAGTGGAAATAAGCCACTTGATGTTCAAATGCTCCAGCTGCCATACTCTGATTTTTTTGAAAGAGTCATCAATGCTGGATTTCAACAGATATGAACTCTTGCGACGACCTTTTTTTCTGCCGCACCTTCTGTAAGAGCTCGACTTCGTCATGACCTTGGCTCAAAGGGGCCATTTTCAGCTTTCGTCATCTCTTTTGAATGGAACGATTTCGGGATTTTTACCAATGGAGATACCGAGATGCCCAGCAAATTTCCCAGCAATTTCAGCACACCAACATTTGCCCTTGCCCTAAAAATCACCCCGTTTTGTAGGAAGATAAATTGAAATATATACTATACATGGAGCATATGGGCACTATTTATGGGATTTTATGGGTTTATAAACCAACAACCACAACTGGGGGGCCTCACCATACATGGAGCATCTGGGTTGATCCTATTGGATCGAGATGGTCTCAGTGGAAACTACGGCGAGGTGTCGAAATTCATCCAATCAGAATCCAATAAAAAGGGCTTTCTGAAAACGTCGTAAATTCTATCCCATTAATGCACCATGGTGCTGGTACAGGATGGGGCCCCCAAGATGGCGTTCAGTTGGTTTATAAGTGGCTTAACAATTGTTTATGGTAGATATAACTATAGTTGATGGGGATTTTAATGGTTTATAAACCAACTTATAACTGGGGGGGGCCCATCCTGTATATTACGGTATATTTACCTACAAAACTGGGCGATCTGTAGGGCAAATGTTGGTAAATATTGCATACATAGAGCATATGGGTATGGTAAATTCTATGGGAGTTGCCACAATTACAGAACGGAAATTGAGGAGTACGAAAGTACGGTTGTTTACCGTACCCTGTTGTTCCATAATTCCTGTTTCCTCAGAATGTTGGGAAAAAATACTCTCAACTTACTCCTAACTTTTTGTCGTTCTATAATTCTTGCTTGTGTTTCATAGTTTTCCCACCATATTTCTCACATTTACCAATTCTGTTCTGTAATTGCGTGTTCTATAGTTGCGTGTTCTATAATTAAATGTGCAATAACTCCGTTCTGTAATTCTGGTTTCTATGTACATTCTTCCGGGGTCCCAGAAAGATACATAAAATGATGTAAATACATGTAAATACATGCAAGTAGCCTCCAAGACTCACACAATCTGCGTGTTTTCGGTGGTTTCAATGGGAATTTGAGAAGCACAAATTAATTATAGAACAGCCAAAAAATAATTATAGAACAGGATCCGAATCCGCGCGGAATCGGGATCCGGAGGAGTACGAAAGTACGGTATTGACCGTACTTTGTACTTCTATATATAAGTCCGTTCTATAATTCATTGTCAACCTTAGATACCCTGCAAAAATAAAAGAATCTATGCTGGTTAGTAGATATTCCCATTAATACCAAAAGAATACCAAAAGACTAAAGGATTAAAGTCCATCTAAGATTGACCTAGTAAACATCCTAACATCGCCAAGTGACATTGCATGGCTGTCACCAACGGCCATAAAATTGACCATGCGATACCCGGAAAAAGCTGGAGATGCATTGCCTGATCAGGCTGTGGTGATGAATCATGGTATGAGCTCACTGGAAATCAAATAATTGGATTTGGATGATTTATGATGATTCACTGTAAAACATCATGCCATTTATAACTGGGATTGACATATCTGGGCAAATGATAATAATTCACTAACCTGAAATAAGGCTATCTTGCGGATGGTTCCCCTTACTAACCATTATTCCAGTGAGGTCGCAGTGAGGTCGTTATAATTTACCCAGACATATGGATTGACTGGGTTAATTCATGTTCATATCATCCAGTGGGTTACTTTTGGTGACTGGTGACCCCCGCATGGAGTTTGGTTTATAGCAGCCAAGCTCACTCTTGGCAGATACCCTCTGGTAAACCAACAGTTTGCTATTAAAAGTTGCCGTAGAAATAGTGGATTTACCCATTAAAAACAGTGATTGTCCATAGTTTTTTGTATGTTTACCAGAGGGTAATGGCGGAAAACAATGAGCAAATGGTAGTTACAAGCATCGCACATTCACTTGGACATGGAACCCCCTACATGGGGCTCAACAAATGCGAACAGTGTGGGGGATACACTAACCCATATGCGAACCATGGTGCTGGTATATTTACCTACAAAACTGGGCGATTTTGTTCCGGCAAATGTTGGTGTGCATATTCCAGCACCATGGTTCGCATATGGGTAACGAAACACTCCCAATTTTTCGCCAATGGGTGTTATATATCTGGTTGGTGGTATACCTACCTCTCTGAAAAATATGAGTTCTTCAGTTGGGGTTATTATTGCCAATATATGGAAATTCATAAAACTCATGTTCCAAACCACCAACCAGGCCAATGGGTGTTATATATGGATTTTTGAAAATGCAGAAAAAACCTTGCGAAATGATCCCCCAATGGTTGATACGCAAGGGTAGGAGGCGCTCTGCGTTGTGAGGGGTTTACCGTATTATTGCCTTTACTAAATGTATCTTAACATGGTTTGAAAATCCCTGATCCTTATCTCATACCCAGGCCAACAGAACGGTAACAAACATATATGCATTCTCTGAAAGTCATGATTTCCGTTAGATGTTGCAACGATGTGTTTTTTCTTGCCATTGCACAATCTACTGCATGTATAGTAACACAAACAACAAAACCTTCCCCAATCGCAATAAATCTTGCTCAATCGAACGTTTCACTGGCCATTTCAGGAACCTAAATTGGAGGTACCTACTATATGTAAGGCCTATGTAAAGCCTATGTAAGGGAATATCCCCACAAAATATGGCCTTATATGGTACAGTACCTCCATTTTAGGATCCTGAAATTCCCATTGAATGTTGGTGGACTGTACAAGTATTGGATCTATGCATGATCAATTGAATCTTGGCGGGGGGGATCAAGCAGGCCATTCGCTCTTTGCGACTGGAAAAAAGTAGTACGATCTGTGCTGCTCCCCAGGTATGTCTGGTTTATAACCAACATGAACTAGTTCGATATGTCTACCAAGTCTACCATAAACACAACTTGGAGTGATGTTATCTTATGTATTTTACCAACTTAGCGATTCCCTGCACCATGTCCACGGCCTGTGCCCGGTTGCAGCCAGGTAGCGCTCAATGGGATTTTCACCGGTCCCCAACGGCCATCGAGTTTTTGATACGGTTCAGTTCCATTGGGCGGAGCTTTGTCCCCCTTGAGCCACAAGGTGAGGCAAGGACAGGGCCATTGGCTAACAAATGGCTTTTGGGGGATATAACTATGATATAATATAACATGATATATTGGATATATTCTATGTATTCTATGTATTCTATACAACTATATTCTATATATTCTATCTATTTGATACATTCTATATATTCTATATACTCTATATAGTCTATACATTCTATATATTCTATATACTCTATATATTCTATACATTATATATATATATATACTCTATATACTCTATATATTCTATATGTACACATGTTCTATATAACTATAATATAACTATATTAGTTCATGAGTTTACATCATCAGCTTTTGTTTAACTGGGGGGACTCACCTTCAGAAAGTGACCAACGATCACCTGATCAGTGTCTGATGAGAAATCCCCAATGAATATGTGCCATATGAGCCAGGGTCAACGATGTCAAAACATAGGATTAACGGATTAATGGTGCCCTTCCAGTTATAAGCTGGTTTATAACACCATTAACTATAATCCCTTCCTCCTAATACTAAACGTCCCCCTAATACTAAAAACAGGCATCCATCTCCAATTTCCGAAAATTTCAGTTTGGCCAATTTGACTTTTAATTGATCCCCTTTAAAAAACAATTTAAAAATCAACCTACCATTTGTGGGTTCTCCCCCCTAATACTAAAAACTAGTTCACCCCGGGGTGTTTAGTATTAGGGGGGCCTAGTCCCAATCCCTCACTCCAAGCTGCCTGGCTACTCTAGCAATTAGGGGTAAGCTTCGAACTGCCATTTTTGGCAATATTTTAATTGCGTTATATAAGGAAATTTAATTGATTTTGAGATCGGAAAAAATAGTTTTTAGTATTAAGGGTTTTAATTTAGTATTAGGGGTAAGCTTCGAACTGCCATTTTTGGCAATATTTTAATTGCGTTATATAAGGAAATTTAATTGATTTTGAGATCGGAAAAAATAGTTTTTAGTATTAAGGGTTTTAATTTAGTATTAGGGGTAAGCTTCGAACTGCCATTTTTGGCAATATTTTAATTGCGTTATATAAGGAAATTTAATTGATTTTGAGATCGGAAAAAATAGTTTTTAGTATTAAGGGTTTTAATTTAGTATTAGGGGTAAGCTTCGAACTGCCATTTTTGGCAATATTTTAATTGCGTTATATAAGGAAATTTAATTAATTAATTAACATGACTTCGATTTGGTTCCCTAATAATAAATACCCCCCTAATACTAAAAACTACCTGCCGTGTTTTGTATTAGGGGGGGGGGTTAGTATTAGGAGGAAGGGATTAGATATGTCTATCATTGTCTATCATAAGCCCTAGTTATTAGAGTTATAAACCAAATTAGCTATGGGGTACCACCTTGTAGGATTGATGGTTTATGATCATCCATCCCTTTCAATAGAAAACCTAACAATGAAAATGTGCAAATCCCAATGAACATGGATTGATGACCATCCCGCAATATGTGGATAGAATCCAAGTTTTGACATTGGCACGCACAGTCAGTATGAAATAGATTGAACTAGTAGTTAGTGTAACCCCCTACAATCATCAACCAACACGTCTTTTGGACACCGCTCACCTGGGATATCCTGGTGTCTCCATGTAATGTATACCTCAAGTCATTCTTACCGCTTGTAATCAACCAGCGACCCTCCCTTGTTATGTTACGTCCCTTGTAGATTCATGAAGCTCCCCTGAGTCACCAAGTTTGTGACTTTAGCGCCCCCAAATCCAAACACCAAAAGTTGGAAGTCTGCTCTGTCTCCTCATATTCTATTGCTGTAGGTGATACAGTAGCCATTTTGGATATTCCATGTTTCTGTGAAACACCTGAAACCAAAATTTGAGTCGTTCAACCTAGCATCCTAGTCATTGGAACTACCAAGTTTGGGTGAAACCTGGAATTCAGTTGTTGAATCTGTAGACGAAAACGAGCTTAAACCGATAAATATTGATAATTAGATCCCAGATGCTCCATGGTGCTGGAATATGCACACCAACATTTACCTCAAAAATGGTCTAAATCTAGGTCAATGTTCCAGCACAATGGTTCGCATCTGGGGATACCATGGTTTGATGAACAAATCATTTGGGAAATCCAAATTGTTGAAGCTTCAATCCCGTTTTGACAGGCTGAATCTCCCAGAAAAATGCGGACTTTGACTGTGAAGGAATTTCACAAAATTTCAATAATTGAGGTAAACAATGTCATAAACCAGCCATTTGGGAATTGTTTTACCAACATTATATCATATTAGTACATATTATATATATACACACACACACCAGTCTCTTACTTGGCTCACCCATCATTTATCATGGACTTTTATCATCATATTAAGACACATATTGTGAAGACCTGTCGCCTTTTTTCACACCACCCTCGGTTTCCGAAAGTTTGGGTTTCAGCTCAGCTGCAGCTCCCCCACCTCAATAGACCAGTGCACGGTGCTAGCTTCGTGGTCCTGGCAAGTCGGTGTTCACATGTTCCACTCCTCCAGGCCAATGGCCGTGATGATGAGTTATAACTGGTTCTAAATGGTTCTGGTTGGTGGTGCAATAACCATCTTGAAAAATATGAAAGTCAATGGGAAGGATTATCCCATATATTATGGAAAATAAAAAATGTCTGAAACACCCAACCAGGGTTACATTCCATAAATGGGGTTTTCTTAGTACTTAAAAACTTGTCTTTCGGTCCACAACAGTAGTTGATTTTACCACAAAAAACGCCAATTGGTTTGGGGATTCTCGATTGCCATGTTGGATTACATGACGACTAGACCCGCACTGTTGTTTTCAACAATTACGACTCACCTCGTTTTGGATGATTTTTGGTGTCAAATTATTTGTTGATCTATTCTGAAACGGGGACGACGCACAGTACATTCTACATATTCCACTCAATTTGCATCATTTAAAGCTAGCTAGAACTCAGTTCAATGGATTGGTTTAAGGGAAAATCGAAACCGGAAACCATAGATTTTCCCAATAAATACGGGGCTTTCCTGTAAATTTCCCCTTAAACCAATCCAATGATCAGTTGCCTCCCCAGAGGAAAGAAGGGATTCCCACCGTCCCAGTACCCCCAGGGCCCCATTGGAACACAGCGCAGTTGACGTCCTCCCATGCTTCTGGATCATCCTCACAGCATGAATTTCCTCTAGGAGTGGGGAGTAAGACCTTATCCATTTCTATATTATAGGTATCTTGTAGGTATCTTATAGCTATATCATGGGTATATCCAATAACATAGGTTGCTTTGGAATTTTTTAAGCTTAATGATTCTTAATGCACATGTTTGGAGTGATACAGACTCCATGGACCACGACCTGTCCCGACAGAAGAATCAGTGTTTCAACATATCTCCGGCGTGAAGGTGAAGGAGAGAACCAAAACATCGGATATTTTTGTGGTTTCTGGTCATCCAGCCCATGACCCATAGGATCCATGTATGGTATATTAATGCTAACATAAAGGGGGTATATTGATGGTAAATGTTACCATATATAGCATACATGGATCCTATGGGTAATGGGAATCCAAACACAATGGGCATACATGTATATATATATACATATGAAGACCAGCCCCCAAGGGGTACACAATCCAACATTTGACGCGGACCATGCGCGCCGAAGTCGACAACACAATCTCTATTCCCATCCACAGGTGGCAGGATAAAGAGACCAATGACCTAACGAATTAATGTTGCACGCACCTAATTAGGGTCCTCCAAGTTCGCAATCGACCTCCGTTTTCGTAAATCCTTCATGAATGCCGCGTATCTGTTGTGTCTTTCACTTGCTGAAGGTTCAGGCAAACGTTCGAATTGCAACACTGGCTGCACATCTTTGACATAGATTGGTTCATTCAACGCTAAACCAGTCATGTTGGAAACATATCCAACATTTGACCATGGCACATATGATTAAACAATATTCAAACAGGCCTTACTAAAGCAGGCTCATTGGAGGCTATGTCGCCAGGATCCCCGAAACTATCCATATCTTCTGTCATATATAATAGCCATATAGGAAATATATTCTCCATGTTCAAACGCACCCATAACAATCGTCATTGAATTGGTTTAGGTCAACAGCTCAAGGAAACACTGTTTATTTTATATCAAAATAGTCATTTGGGGGGACCATTCCCCATGTTTATTTATTGGTTAAGCCCATGTTGCTGATGCTTAAAACCCCCATGACTTGGCTATAGTTCAATCATGTTAAATCCAGGTCTATCTCCATTTCGAATCATTTTGGTTATATACAGGATGGGGTCCCCCAGTTATAAGTTGGTTTATAAACCATGAAATATATAATCCCCATTAACTAGTTCGTTATATCTACCATAAACCATTGTTAAGCAACTTATAAACCAACTGAACGCTATCTTGGGGGCCCATCCTGTAGGGTTGCATCCAAATTCAGGTATGGATCGGCCCGCAGTGATCCAGACGTGTGGATCGGTCTGGATCACCTGCTTTTTGGTATGGATGAGGGGTATGGATCGGCCTGTGGGTTCAGGGTATGGATCGGGGCTTTATATTTTGACTCGTAGGCATATGTGCTCATGATATCACCATTATATAGGAGTTTCCTAACATGGGGGTACCCCCAAACTATATATGGATGGCTTATTTCATGGAAAATCCCCAAAATAAAATGGATGATGACTGGGGGTACCCCTATGACTTTGGAAACCACCATACCCTCTGGTAAACTAACATAACCATGGAAAACCCCCATGCTATTAAAGGGTAAATCATGGTAAATCAACTATTTCTATGGGCCATTTGAAAAATAGCAAACTATAACAGTCATTACCAGAGGGTATACCATCATATATCCTAAGAAATCCCATTGAATCAACATTGAATCACCATTAAATCAAACATGGCTAGGGGAATTCCTGGAAATCCCCATTGACTATCTCCTCCTATCAGAAAAGTTCGCTGGGAAATCATTGATGT